CTGGTAACGTCACTTTAATAAATTTAGTAATTTTCCACCATTTAAACGGAACGGCAAAATGTTAGGAGTAGGATTCAACTAACGTTATATTAATGTCTACAATACGTTTAGTATAAATCGCTTTTGAGTTTCAACAGACACTCAACATGTGATTGAGAATGGCCTGCAAGTGACGTAATGTGGGTGTCTCGATCCTGATTAATTATAGAAACGTGGCATTTGTTAACGCTGGCGACTGTTCTTCCCATTCTATTTCGAGTAAACCAAGCCCGTCAAGTACCAATTCTCTTAAGTGACATATTCTACATTCTTTCACATATAGTTCTTACTAACACAAAGATAGGCACGAAACCATGTAGAACATAAAATAATTATGCATCGAAGTTGCCAAGTACACAAAACAAAAATATATTACGGTAACAATAAAATATATATAAACAAATAATGAATCTAAGTTAAGGTAAAAGACGTAGACGAGAAAAATTTATATTTCAGCAATTTCGATGTAATTGCGCTGCATTTAATTAGCTTCGCTTTAATTAACATTCTAACTTATGTGGAGAAACTTAGCTCAAGTTTAACACGCCATTTTGCTTATAAGTAATCAGCTGGCGCTGATGTCATAGGTCACATGTGTGGCTATCCGTGATCTTCTTGAAATGTAAATTTCCCAATTAAACCAGGGGCCTTCCTGGCTGAATGGTATCGCCCGCCAAAGACTGTGTAAAGCGTGGAGGAAGCGGGTTGGAATCTCCCTGTTACCCTCGATGCATCTTGTATTACATACCTCTCTGTTCTTCTATTTGACAAAGCTTTACGAGCCTAAATTGAGCACACAAGCCTGCAAAAGTATGTAATTCCAATAAACCCAATTCAGATTGTAATAGAAATTAAAAATTCCGAGAGAACAATTGCAAACGCTCTAAATTCTCTCTCAAAAAAAAAAAAAAAAATTATAATAGCTCCGAGTGATTTGGATGCAGCGCAACGAAATTTGATTCTTTAGTTAAAACTTAATTAGCGTTCATACTTAAAATATCATAATTCAAATGTCATAATCATTTGTCGCAATTACCATAAATCAAATACACATCAACGTAATCTCCTCGTTTAAGAACATTTTGATTGTGAATCTAAATTACAAAAATACCGTTTGAAAAAGAGAAAAGCAAGCACTTAAAATTTAGCCACATTCAGAAGTTTCAATTGGGTGGGAATTTTTATGCCAATTCTGAAACAGGAGAGTTCTATGGTAATAGTGAGGTTTAGAGACAAGGCTAAAAATTGCTGCTTCCTTAGTTAAAACTATGTTAAATCTTAAACTGATCAGAATGTCGCGAACGGCCTAGTCATCGAAACACAGAAGGCGGCTTGTTCGCTCTTTATTAATTTTTTCATAAATTAGAAACGTTTCTTCCGTTTCGTTTAATACGATTTTCTTACTACAGCGCGCACTTTAATGAATTCAATTTTGATTTTTTTTCCAGGATTAAAAAATGAAACTTTGAGAAAAATTATGAGTCACAAAAGACTTTCCGCTACATAAGAAATGTGTAATTAATATTTTAGAGCGGTCTTTACGAAACACCCTGCATAATAGTCAAGCATTTTCATTAAAGCAATATTTTGGTACATATAATTCGTCAAAATTGACAAGACAGTACTCGCACTTCAATATGGGTAGACTGGATAAAAATGGGCCCTCAAGATTTTTCTATTTTTCCCCCTAAGCAGTTATGTGAATGTGAATTAATAATTTTTTTACATGAATGATAAATTAGATCCAAGAATAAATAATATTCAATGTGAAAATATTTTGGAAAGTAAATAAATTTTTGGAAGTAAGCCAATACTCATTTTTATACCAACCATTGTCAGAAAACTCCGAATCTAGATTGAAATAATGAAAAAATCTTGATTTTTTAAACTTAATACACTGATAAAGGGTTTAAAACTCAAGGAACATCAGTAATTTTGAATTTGATATCTTTGGAACTTTTAGAAGAATAAGCTAATTGAGTAAATTTAAAAAAAGAAATCAAGAATCAAACTTTGATCCCATTGCGAGACTTCATGATGAAGTTCATAAACCCATTCTTTAAAGTTAAGACACAATCCTCAACACTTAAATGCGAGAAAATGTTTTCTCTAATGTTCCCGTTGTCAAAGGAAAAGAATACCTCCTTATGTACAAACCAAACGTCTTATCTAATGTAAACAATTTGTTTTTACGAAGCAACTAAAGCTCTCTGGAACAACAGAAGTTGTGATTTTCCGTTAAATTAACTTGGTAAACCTGTATACAAACTCTTGCAATCAAGATCTGCTTTAGTTAGAGAAACAAACTTTTTCTTTATTGACTCGACATTGTTCCCTGTGGGCTAAGCTCTTCTCCAGAATCTTTCCCCAATCATGCTTTCGTCCTTACCCAGGATGTCTCAGTTGAAAAAATAAAAACTAAACAGTCTAAATAGTGATGGGATTTTAACGTACTATGTTTGACACCCACGTAACGAAATGTTAAATTAACTTGTATAAACTTATCAAAATAAATAATTATCTCATAAATTTCCTATGTGCAAAATCTTTAATCTTACAATCATTCAAATTGATGCATCGTATTGTTTACACTCTAACAAGTTGCCAAAAGAACGGCTTTTGAAGGTTGTGTCACTGTTTTTGGCCAAATGTACTCAGAATTTTCTGTTGCTTGGAGTAGACTCAAAGACTGTCCAAATAGTTAGTATAGTACAGCTTTCAGAACTCCTCCAGACACCCGTCTCGTGTCGTGGCGGATACTATGGTTACGAGGAAAGGTCACTTGGAATAGGGGTGTGGGGTGAATAGTTTTGACCTAATCTTAAAGTAGGTCGTCGTAAGTAAACCAATCGACACCTTCTTTCCTCCATTTTACCCCCATTAGAAATGTGCTATCGCTTGTTACCATAGCAGCAGACAGCCCAGACTTTCAGTCTGGAGGAGTTTTCCTCAAAGCCGCACTATAATGGAAGTTTTATAAACTGTGATCTGCGAAGGTCTTAGCAAAATAAATGAATGTTGTATGAAGTAAAATTTTAAAAAACATTTACCTGAGAAATCTTTATTTTGATTTTCCAAAAATATTATTAAGCTTCTATTAAACCAATAGGCACAATATATTACCAGAAACGTTATTGTGGGCATTTAATTTTTTCTCATAATAATATTTTTTCTCTTTAAATTGTTCTTAATTTTCTTTGTTTCTTGCAATTGTAATTGTTCTTAAATTTCTTTTAATTCTTAAAAAAATTTTATGAAACTGCAAGTTTATGAAAGTCATAAATAAGTGTTATGGTCAGTTACATATGTTATTGCAACATGGTCCTAAAAGATGATTTTGAGTAAAATGCTTTTCTTTACATACAACTCTGAAAAATAATCAATTCCTTTTAAAATCGGGAAGTCAAAACAATTTTCAGCAAAGAGATAAAAAAAACTTGAAAATAAAATTTAAAAAAGGAATTTTTTTTATAGAAAAAATTAAAGATAATAACTCGCAAACTTCATATTTATTTATTGTTCTGACAACTTTATTTCATTCTTTATTTACATTTCATCAAAATCACAATTTTCATTTTTGCATACAGTTAAATAAAAACCAAAGGAAAAAAGGAAAGAAAAATGCAACATATATACATATTTTCAGAAAAATTAATTAAAACTTTAAAACATAAATCATTTAATAAATTCAAAATAACATTTTGTTTATCTTATTTAAAAAATAATATAGTTCTGACTCTTAATCATCAAGTGAAGGAAAAATATTTTACGAAATAAAATGTTGCTTTGAAATTTTCTGATTTTTTTGAATTGCTTTGAATCTAGAAATCTTTAAAATTATTGCTCTAAAAATATAGTTTTAAGTTTCTCAAATTGTAAACAAATATTTTAACAATAAGAAAATTTCATTATAATGTTTAAAACATAACGAAAAAAATAAGTAATAAATTATCACACAATATTTATTACTTTGGGTCCATGCACTAAAATGTTTTTTTTTTTTAAAAAAAACTCAGAAAATAAAAGCTCGACCAATAAAAAGAAAAAATATTAAAACTAAATTATAACTACAAAATGAATAAATTAAAATTGAGTTTAATGTAAAGTATAAACAAATTTTTTTTCAAAACATCTAATTTTTTACATTTTTAAAAGGATTTATTTATTTGCAAAAGGACACACATTTCTTTTAATTTGTTAAGTGTTAAGTCAGTAACCGGTGACTGATACTGAACTTTACGTTTAACCTGCATTAGTCACTGGTGATTGACAGTATAAGAAATATAACAAAAACTAAAAAATTTACATGGTTTTAAGTAATTTCTGAAACTTTATTTAAAATTTGTTAATAACAAACCGAATTTGAAAAATTTCAATCTGCAATAATGTTATTAATCTTATTGCTTCTAAGGAGAATGAGTAGCTCGATAGGGGTTTTCTTAAAAATATGTGTGGTGTATAATAAGTTGCATAGCATATTAGGTTCAAAATATGCCTAAACTTTTAAATTTTGTAATTATGAAATAATTAGAAAATGCAGAAGAATACATTATTTGAAATAGCAAAACAATAGTAAAATTTAGGATGGAATTTTATTCAGTTATTAAAGACAATAAAAGAATAATTTTATAATTTTAACACTATTTAGACAAAAAAAGATAGTGAGCAAGTTTAAAATAACCTACTGTAAATTAATTAAATTTATGCAAGTACACATACACATAAACTTATATTGCAGAGAAGAAAAATTTTTATCGATTAAAAGCTGTAAAAGTTTTAATTATTTCTTAAAACGTTGACAATTATATGCTGATCAATGAACTATATAATTTAACTTTTATTATTTATTATTATTTTTGCTAAAGAAATTAAACAAAATTGCTACCACAACTAGTCCTTTATTTATTTTAAACTGTAATTGAGTACAAATTATTTTGATATTGAATGTATTTTTAATCCTCATCTTTAATCTAATCAAGCTTTGCCTTTTAAAAAAACAATAGTAAAATATGTTGGATATTCAAGTAATTTTGTCTAGTTATTTTCAAAAGGTTATGTGTTGATAGATTTGCAACTGTTAGAAAAAAATAAATAATAAAACAAAAAAATTTCTTCTATACATGGGCAATAAAAACCATACGTTTTTTAACTCTTTTAAACTTTACTATGCTTTAGATATATTTTGATAAAACAATTTCATTCATATGTTACACAACTTACAAGACTTTTCTGATAATGAGAATTTTTTATTGTTCCAAAAGTTTTTTTTTTTTTTTTTTACACTAATGACCTTTAGTAAACAAATCTATTGAGATTGTTTTTTGAGGAATTTTAAGAACCAATCAAACCAAGGAAATATTTTCTTTTCAATAATAAGTTCAGTATTTATGTTTTAATATTTTTATGCCACACAACTCAACATTATAAAAAAATTTAATACATTTTCATTAAGAATTTTTTCTCCGAAAAAAGAAAGGTGGTAAATTTTTCAGAAAAAATGTCCTCATTCTAAGCATCTAACAATTGCTATCGGGGTGTACACAAATAATTTTTTTAAATTGGATCATTTGATTTAAAAGTAGTTTTTATGTAAGTAAATTAATAAACTGTTTAACTTAAGACTGGAAGAATATGAGTGATCATTGATTAACTTCATTTTTATATCATGTATCTGCATTAAATAATTCAGATACAGTAAACATTAATTGCTCACAAAGAATACAAATTTACTCATTAGTAAAAGGGAATTTTTTTTTTTTTTATTCGAACACAGTTTTGTTTGTTTGAGGTTTCCCCCAAAATTATAGCACTTTTTCCAGTTAACAATAATTTTTTTAAAAATATAAAGTTTATATACTGTTTTTTTTTAACAAGGAAAAAATTTATTCAATTTTACACAATTCTTCAATAAACTAGCATATGAGTTATAGATAATAAAAATCAAAATATGTTTAGAGAAAAAGTAATAATTTATGAAACTAAATTTAAGGTCCCACCCATACTCATTAACTTAAGAAAATCACATTAATAGATTAACAAATTGATATATAAAGTTATTTGTGTTAGATTTAACATAATAGATCAACATGTTTAACATAACAGACTATCACTTTATTTCTCTTATTCACTCACTATTTTTATTATTTCACTTTAAGACCTCAAACAGTTTTTGATGTCTCAGAATTCAAAATCTCTTAAGTATAAACAATCTTACTCTTTGTTTAGTTTTATTCTTAACTTATAAAATAGCTAACATCCCTGTTTGATAAAAAAAAAAAAAAAATAATAATAATAATAATAAAAGAAAGTTCATTACAGTTAAAGTTATTACAATGGATATTTTATTGTAACTTGTGTAAAAGGCAAAAATTACATTCAATTTACTTTGAAAAAGTCCAATAACTCTTTAAATAAAAATGTTACTTAACATTAAATTACTGGCTTCACATGAAGAACACACACTCACTACATTAATTAAAAAGCCCGAAGTTTTTAGATTCAGAGATAAGCATAAAATTGTCAACTGAAAAAAATACATATATGTATAATTTTACAAGGGCACTACTAAGGAACTAAAAAGTATTGCTTTTTATCTAATCAAATATGCTTGCATTATTCCCCTTCTTTAGTATACACCAAATTATTTTAAATCCCTAATTCATTATAAAAAAAATCTTTAAAACTCATAATAGCACCTGCATTATTGACAAAATCAGAAGACCCAATTTTGCTTTAAAGGACAGTTCAAATGATGTAACTTTTGCTAACTCAGTAAAAAGAGTTTAAGTTAATAACCGGAGGAGGGGAAGAAAAAAAAAAGAATTTTACAGTACATAAATTTTACTAAAATAAAATTATTAAAAAAAAATAATTAGCCAATTAAACAGAAACGTAAGACAAAGTGCTTAATGTAATACAATTGCAATATAAAGTATACATACTATTGGTGGATTGAAGTTCTTAAAATTCATCAAGCCTATAAATATACATTTTACAAAATATCAAAATTTTCAAATTGTAATAGAGACCTAATCAGCTTCCAAGGAAAACTATCAGTCCTTTAGGTGCCCATGTGCAACAAACTTTCAATTACCTGAAAGAAAATGTGCCACATATGAAAAATAAATAAATAGGTAAAGTTGGGAAGAAAAAAAAAACAGTCTGTAAAATATTTTGTGGATATTGTTTGTTGAATTTTGGGGGAAAGAAAAGCTAAAGTTAAAAAAGTCTGTAAAATATTTTGTGGGTAAACCATAATAAACTAAAATTATTTTTCTTTTAAATAAAATTTAAACTAATATGTTTATAAAAACCTTACACGATGATAAAATTTTAAACATGTTTTAAGAGCATGTTAAGATATGATCCAAAGCATTTCAGGAGGCACTACTCTTGGTTTACAAAATGCAATTTATATGAGTTGCAAATTCAACAGTCGCAGATATGAATGATTTCGAATTCAAAACTATTTGTAAACAATTTGAATGCTTCAAATTTTATTTTGATTAAAATTTTACAAAAAGAATAACAACTTCTAAGTAAAACATTTGGAAAATTCATACAAAACTTGGAGCAATCCAAGCATAATAGTTCAGTATGAAAATTTAAATCTCAATCCTCAGAAAGGATTGTTTATATTGCAAATGTATACTGTGTATCAATAGTGATGACCTTTTTTGTGAATAGAACCGAAATGACTGCCTATCTTTTAAATTGTCCTATTCTTATACATGCTTTTTTCATTAATATTTTTCAATGCAGGAAGGCGTGCAGGTTGAATATTTAGATACAGATTTAAATACAGTATATGTAAAAATAATTCTTACAGTAAGCACTTATAAAATAGCCCTAATTTTTTTAATAAGTTTTCAAAAAATTATAATCATTATTTATGAGTAATTTTAATTATTTTTCAATTTAAATATCTTTTTTTGAAAGTATAAATTTTGGAGGAAAGCTTGTCGACTACAGCTAACCTAATTAAATCAACTATAATGAATCATGATAAATGAATTTATTGAGGCCAACCGAACTTCATATCCTATGCAATTAAAAAAAAATCACATATTATCTCAAATAGTTTGTTGTTACAACAAATACTAGATTAATTTATTCCTTTGCAAAGCATGCAGCAATATGAAATTGTCATTAACTGTGAATTTAAAAACAACTCCAAAACTCAAATAATGTCTAGAGCCTTATAAAACAGAAATAGTTTATGAAACATGAAATTATGTAGTCATTTAAACAAATACAAGATGTTCAGTGTCAAAACTTTGTAAGGGCTATTAGATTTTTTTTTTCTTAAACAAAGAAAATGACCTCTTTTAAGTAGATGAACTCACAGAATATGTTACACATAACTTGTAATCAGTTTTTTATAGACATAATAAAACTGGGTAGGGCCAAATAAATCTCATTATATTGGCTAAAATACAAAATTTATCGTTGATAGTCATATTGGAAATTACATGTATTTTACAATGCATGCTCAAAATGAAACATGAATGTGATTTTGACAAGATACACAATTTGTGCATTGTTATGCTATTAATAGCTATTCCTCATTTCCTAGATTTTTAACATCATTTAACTCTTACGTTTTTATTTATACTCCTCTCAGAAGAACATATGCAACAGAAATCCTCATACACCCACAAAAGGAATATTAACTAATGAGATATAAATAATTTAAGTTATCGTTGAAGGTCAAGTTTACTTATAGATATATGATATGAGGGAGTTTAAAATGATGTGTTCAGTTATTAATTTCACCGATTTTTGATTCAAACTTTACAGGAAGGAGTCTTACTTTGAATGTTCTTTTTGAACTAAACTTCAAATTTTCAAAAATTGATATTTTAAAGTAATTTTATGACCTTAAAGTAGATATGAACAATAGATTACAAAGACCTCCTGTCAGGGCTGGATCACCCATTAGGCCATGGCCTGGGGCCCCTAATCATTAGGGGCCCCCTTAATATAGATTTTTTGGAAATGACTTTCTTAAATGAAAAGATACATAAATACTTTTATATTTGAATAAATAAAAAATATACAAGAAAAAAATTTAATCCAAGGGCCCCGCGTAAGCTTAATCCTGCCCTGCCTCCTATAAAAATATCTTAAATAATGAAGTTAATAAAATATAATTTTAAATTCTCCACTTAAAAAACTGTGAGCTTTTTTATATATAGAAACTTAAAACCTGATATATCAGTTACTTATTTTGAAGAAAAAATTTCTCTACGAAAAATTGGAATTTACAACAGAATTATCCATCAAGTGTACATGTAATTTGCAGTACAAGGAAATTAATTAACCAGTTAATTTTCAAGGTGACAATTAAGTTATTTAGATAAAAAAAACACAAATAAAATTAGAAGTGTTCTGAAAGAAAATTAGCAAAAAAGTATAAATAACAACCTTAAAAGTTCTTCTCAATGATTCCGGGATTTCTTCGATTTCTTACCATAAATTTCAGACTCTGAACTAAGTGACCTACTTGCACGGTATTTCCTGGGAATTTTTGAGCTACGACTATATGGTGAAGGACTCCTATGTGAATCTTTATATCTCTTTTCTTCCCTTGATCTTTTATCATCATGATGTCTATGACTTCGTGAAGATTTATTTGAATGACCCTCACTCCTATGGTGACTTTTCGTATGACTCGAACTACGTCTACGTCTGTCCTCATAACTACGACTTCGCCTGCTACGCCCACGATTTGACTCGTGCTTTTTACTAGATTTTTTCTTATGCAAAACACTACTCGAACTGCTACTGCTATCACTTCTTTTACTTTTCTTTCTCTTTTTGTTACTAGATTTTTTTTCGGGAGAACGACTTCTTTTGTGCCTGCCTGAACTATCACTGTCTCTACTCTTACGTTTATGATGTCGTTCTCGCCTTGAAGGGCTTCTTTCGCGTTTTTCGTTTTTGCTACTTTTATCTTTCTTACTGTGAGATTTCTTCTTATTCATTTCACTTGAATTACTTTCACTATCAGAAGAACTCGAATATTCTGAAGAATTCATTTCTTCCTCTTTTGGCTCTGGCTTGACGCTTGTTTCACTAGTTTGTTTGCTATCCTCTGCAGATTCATTTTCACTAATAAATGGTATATCATTTGAATTTGCAGACCTCTGAAAAGGCATCATAGGAGATAATTTGCTATTTTCCGGGTTTAATTCTTCCTGAATCTCTTCCTTCACTTCTACTCTGATATTTTCTTTCACAATTTTATCAGAGGTCATATTACCTGAAAATTTTAAAACCAAAGCTTTACTTTTAAAATCTGTATTTAAAGAAAGGAGAAAAAAATTGCCATAAAAAATATAGTTGAAAAAATAAAATGATAAAACTGAAGAACTAATTTTTCATCAGCTAGGTAAAAAAAAGCAAGAATTTAAATTCAACTCTATTACATATGTGTCAACTGCAAGGTCAAAATCTTCTAATTTAAACATTATACAATTTCATTACAAAAATCATTTCTTTTTAGCCTTAGAATAATATTAAAGCTGAGACAGGAAATAATTATTTTTATTAGCAAGTTTTGTTTATTTTTGTAAAATAATCCAAATAAATGCAAACTTTTTTCTCTCGAAAATATGCTATTATTTAATCTAGACTATAAATTTACTTTAATAAAGATTAATATTGTAAACTAAATTTTAAGCAAACATAATTAAGAAGGTATTAAGTAAGATTCTGTTTGCATTATTATAGGATAGTATGTGTTTAAATTTGTATTTAAAATTTATGATAACAGTTGAAATTTCAAATTGAATAATTCTTTCAGTTCAAAATACTTTAAAAAAAAAAGAAACTCGCTGAAAAAACTATAATAACGGACAATCATAGAAAAAAATAATAATTTTTTTTCTAATCTCATTGCATTCAGAATCACTTCAACACCCAGAAAATATTTTGTTACTTCTCTATAAAGGCTAATCATTGTGCTATTTCCAATTAAAAAAAGCCATGTCATAAATTGACAACACTCATGCTCATCTGTCGTTTGTTCACAATTGCAGTTCCCGGAAACCCATTCCAATCTAGAGTTTGCTTGCATTTTTGTACTCAAATCCAACTGTTTTATAAATATGTCATAATTACATAAATATGCAAATAAATATGATAGAAAAAATATGCATATTAAATTATGCCCTAATGTAGCTTAATGTAAATGTGGTTTTAATATAATAAATTTTTATTCATTCATATGCTTTATAAATAGGTACATAATTTAATTTTCCTTTTTTTTTTTTTTAACTATGTTAAGTTTATTTAAAAATATTATTTTTTAGATTCTTTTCCAAAGTCTTATTTTTATATTATAAATTCCCTATTTTAAGTGAAAGAAATGTTAAATAATTTTATTAAAGATTAGTTTTAGATTTTGAAAATATAAAAAATCAGTTTTTATTATTTTTTTTAAAAATTTATTGCAGCTTGAACTCAATGCAGAGAATTACCTTCTGCATAACAGTAGAAGACTTTTTAATAAAGCTGTGATCTAAATAAAATGTATATTTATTAAAAAAAAAAATCAAAAAAATCAGTTAGAAAATAAAATTGTTATTTTATTGATTATGTAGAATTACATTGAGCATTATAAAGAATAGCAACTTTAAATATTTTATTATTATTAAAATATTGTTGTCAGAAAAAAGAAGAAATATGTTTCAGTAAAATGTATTGACTTTATTTTAATTGTGAAATCAAACATATACATTTATCTGGTTCTAAATATAATAATAAAAAATGTACTCATGGTAAATAATTAAAGAAAACCAGTTTGTTTATGACTATACTTTTATTTAGTCAACTGGGATACCAGTAATCTTTTTACTTGTTTTCACCTTAGTGAAACAAAAATGTCTGCTTAATGATCCGCTGATATTATATGGCTTAATCAAGTTAAATTTTGAGCAAAAGCACAGAGATCGTGGTGATGATGGACAGATATTTTTCAATGGACTAGATCTTTTGAAACTGCTGGTTCGTTTTTCAGCGATTTCAAATGCTTAACTCGTTAGTCTCAAATATCTAGTTACATGTTCTATATCCAATCTGCCACTGATTTTAATTAGATAATTAGGCTGTATTTGATTAAAATATATAAAGTAATTCCTTAAAAATAAGCGGAATAAAATAATCTTTTCTTTGAGCTTTCAGACCCTTGACTTCAGACGGAAAAAAATTTCAATTCACTGTGAAGAGTTGCAGCAGCATATTTATTTCTTTGGCTATTTTAGTGATAAATAATCTGCCTGAAGTTTTCAAAATATTTATTCCATTTTGCATACACTTTCAAAAGTGTATATTTAATTCACAAAATTTGTAACTAATAGTATAAAACGAATGATCATAAGATATAAGTAATACTTAGGGCTGCAAGTTTGTCGCAGGAAAAAAGACCCCAAATTCGCGGAAAAAACGCGGTAAATTTTGAAAATTACACAAATTTTAAACATAAAAAAATTTATTATATAAATGATGTTAAAGACATAAATTGCGCAAATAATAAAAAAAGCCAAAAAATGCACATCAAAAGTATTTCTTTGAATTTCAAGCAATATTAATATTTTTATTTAAATGAACAGAATTTTGGTACTAAGTATTGTACATTGTCAGATTATTCTCATTTATCCTTCGTCTTTCGTCACTTAATACATTTTTATACTTAGAAAACTATCTTTCTGCGTCAACGCTGTTTTTAGACACCGACAAACTTCAAATTGCCACTTTTGGAGAGTTCGGTTTTTGATTTCCAAAACTCGATCAATTTTCCTTCACCAACGTGCAATTCCTTGACCGTTGCTTTGTAAGAAGTAATTGCTGTGAAAACTCAAGCATTCTACATTCAAACTACTAGTTACAAGTCCCTACTAACTACTAGTCCCCCTCCCCTTCATCTAAGAAACTGATCCATATTTAAGAAATCACAAGAAGCCGTGCCATCTAGGAAAAATTAACTGGATATGTAGAAAGGCAGTCGAAATTTCATTGCCCAGTGCAATAGCATGTATAACAGTTTTTCTGTCAAAGATTTGATTTATAAAATTTTTCTTCTTTTGTGATTCCAATTTCTTTTGTACTCTTACTGACTTCAGGAAAGTAATTACCCTCCCTAAGTGTAGAAAGACCACCTCAGTTGACAAGATTGTGATTATCTCTTATCTCTGAACTATTTTCATGTCATTTTGCTATTGATTCACTTCCCTAAATATCTAATCAATTTTACATGCTTAATTTAAGGTTCAGGAAAATAAAAAATTCTGTTTAATAAAAATAATGAATAAAAAAAAAATCAAATTTTAAGCAATTTTTGCGCAAGTCAAGACATATTGTGAAATTTGCGGATTTTAGGAAAAAAGATGACAATTTCGCGGAAATTATCGCGGAAATTCGCGCCGCGACAAACCTGCAGCCCTAGTAATACTAAAAGAGCATTGAAATAGACTTAGCAGATGGATGTGTGTTTCCATTTGGCATACGGAATGTCATTACTAATCAGGGATCAATTTTAATTTCACCATTTATAGAGGATTTTTTACGTAATTTAAGTGTTTAATAATTAAATAAACATTTGCAAGAAAAAACAGATCAGGTTTTCAGATTCAGGAGAGAATATCTAATTAGTTAGGACGAAAAATTTAAAATTTTAAGAGTAACTGTCCACAAAGTGGTTACATTTTGTTAGTAGGTATATAATTATTGAATTTTACATAATACAAAAATCTATAATAAAATGCAACATCAAAGTATCACTTACAAGCAAGCTAGTGTACAAACGCATTTCATTCACATCAGTTTCAGACCTAACCGCCAATAGTTTTAAAGAATAACAAAATTAAACTTTCAAGTTTATTTCTTTCACAAAATCATTTTATTAGTTTCAATCTCACATATCCACTGGTAATTTTTACTTCCCTTTAAGCCCCTATTACTCTATAAGTGTGTAGTGTAAAGAGAGAACACTTTCTTAAAATCAAAATTATATTCTCCCATAATTTAGAACTCCAGATGGAAAACACTGATTTAAAGAATTAACCAAAGTTAATCTGTTCCCCATAAAAAGTTTATATAGAATAATTTCTCTTAAAAAACATGTAAAAATATGCATTTTTTGGAAACTAAAAAAATTTACGTAATTTTAGCTTTTAGTAATTCAGGCTTTCTAAATTAAGAAAGTGCACATAAAGATAGCAAGGAAATCCAATAATCTGCCTTAACAGATCTGATCAAGTAAAAAAATAAAATTCAAAATATATATAAGCACGGTTATATACATCTAAAAAGAATAATGACAGGGTTGCCTGTACATATTATGCACTATATATTAAGAGGAAACAACAATTACTGTGCTCTTGTGTGAGCTATATTGGGCTAACTATATTTATTAGTTTTAATTGCTGGAAAAACAGCTGAATATACTTAAAAAATGCTATAGTAAATGAAATAGTTTAGTATAGCTGAAATATCATCGTTGAATATCCCATAGATTACACTTTAAGTGGTCACCATTTTTTAAAAGACAAAAATAAGAAACAAAATTCTCTGTATTTTCCCACTTTCTAAAGAAAAAATCAAAATTCCCTGCATTTTCCCTGTTATTTTAGGTGATTTTTAAGATTTTTAAATTCCCTGTATTTTCCAGGTTTTCCCTGTGGAGTGGCAACCCTGAATGATTATTAAAAAACATTTTGGAGCTACGCAACTATTAAATTCCACATAAAATCTGCCTTGGTTAAGGGTACTTATTACAATGCAGTAAATTGGTAAAAAGCATTTAATTTTCACATAATATTATAAAACATTTGATTTAAGGATTTTCCATGTTGCTTATTTCAACAACAACCCCCGATACCTTCGTAAAGGGATAAATTAAATGGTATTTAATATTAGGATGCAAAACATATTAGAACTAAATGCAACATTAATTTAGCAAAGAATTATCGCATGAGGAAGTTGGATAAAATTTTGAAAAATTAATTCAGCCATGATATTGTATTGGCGAAGTGAACATAAATTAAAATTATACCATTATTCATCTTTTCTCTATCAGTTTTATCCTCTAATTCCTTACGATCAAGATCAGCGATGATCTTCTTTTCTTTAACTGCAAAAAGCCGTTTCTTTTCCTTAATTTTACGATACAGCTCTTCTTCGGAGTCTGAAGAATCACTCCTATCTTCGGCATCACTTCCTTCACTCCCTGAATCATAGCTGGCAAGACCACCTAAAGTTTTGAATCCCTTTTTGGTGAGTTAATGCATCACTCAAATTACAAATATTCATTCAAATCAATCATACGATATTTTTACTTAAATGAATAAAAGTATAAATATAAAACAAGCTCTATATTTTAGAAAAATTTTTTTGAGCTACAAATATTTACATGCTGTAAAAAATGTAATTAAAATTGTATCACAGATACAATTTTGCAGTTCAATAGATTTTAGCATGATATGCTAAACAAATGAATCTTGATAGGTACTAAGAAAACGATAACAGTCCACAAGTATTGTTCAATTCTATGATCATATCCTCAAACATAAAACACATGAAATATTTTATTTTTAGTCCAAAATATGGAAATAATTAGTTTTAAAATGATGTAGCTACACCAGTTGAGAAATTACAAAGTTTATGCACAAAAATAACAACAAATAAGAGTTATGCTGCAGTAGTTATCCTATTCTTGTTTCATAGATGAGAAGAAGCTTGAGAATTTCTATAAATGTACAATCAAATACAGTTTCATGCTTTTATCACAGCAGATCAACGTCCTCAGGATTCAAATTAAAATTTCAAGAGAAGTTTTTCAAATCAAAGTTCCTTATGTTCTTTGTTGTTGATAAAGATGAAAGAAATGAATTGTAACACTCAAAATAATGTAACTTGAAGTTTTCAATTCAAATGAGTTTATTAAAATAGTTTTCTACTAATTTGCTAGCCAAGCAAATACTACTTTAGTTCGATTGCTAGTGTGTTATTTATGCTGTTCCAACAGTTTATATATTCCAAATCTGCTTTAAACACCATTATTGAGTATTAAATGAAAAGGCTTGCAAAGTTACTGTAGTAATATTTTCCTAACTAATTAGACTTGAATAAACAGTCAAGTGGATATAAATTTTCACAATAAATTAATTAGTCAGGCATTCTTCACCAGTAGATTATGTTCTGTTAAATCTGGACTTACTAATGAGATATTCAGGAAAGCTTTGCTAGAAAAACATTCTTCATCATCAGTCCAAAAAAGACCATTAGTGACTAAACCAGTGTTGTTGTTTTTTTAAATGCAAAGAAAAAATGTTTATGTCCTTTTTGTATTTATGTATAGTATACATCACTTTGAATTTAGTCTAGTTAGTCCAACATATAACAGTATTGCTTTTTTTAAAGTCCACATTAGAATTAGTATGATAATGTTCAAGTCAGAAAAATTTTAAATTCTCTTATTAATAAAAATAAGGATAATAAATGTACATGGACTTTCACTGTTTTATACTATATTTAAAAAAAATTAGATTATACAGCATATCTACACTTTAGTACTTTTTTTTATTTATAAATTGCAATAAAAGCCCCAGTATTAGAAAAAACAATTTTCATTTCGAAGCATTTTTTTTTTTTTTTTAAATCAAGAACAAAATAATTTCTTTGAACACTGGAAAGGGTTTCAATTCTTTTCAAATAGTTCAAAGTTTTGTTTAATAATGCTAATTTCTACTATATTAAAAATCAAAATTTAGTGTAATGACATCAATTGACATCCTAATCAAATCTTTGAAAAATTTATACATTAAATGCAATGTAAATACCACCATCAAACAACATTGTGAGCTTACAATAAAATATAAAAACGTGTTTTCTTAGGTTTAAAAAAAAAACACATTTATTAGGTGAAAAAGTTAATAGTTTTTTAGATACTGAAATAAGAAAATTAAAGATACTAAAAACAATTTATTATAATTGTATAAATAAATGTTACTGTTAATATGGTAAATTGGTCAGTTTAAATGATAGATGTATATGCTAATATACTAATCAAAACAGTAAAATGATACAATTATATCTTTTATAATTTTTAATAAAAGCTAGTTGTTTTATATAGATCCAATATGAATAGAAAATATAATTTGTCATTCATAAAAAAAGTTGAATATTTCAAAAACTACTACTTTACGAATTGAGAATTTGTTCACAATAATTAAAAAAAAAAAAAATTTTTTTTAATTTTATCAAAAAAGAAAAAAATGAAGTTTTTGCAATAAACAAATATTTCTTCAAATTTTTTATTTAATTTGTCATATTATTAATTAACTTTAGTTTGGGATCTCTGTACTGCAGTCATTTTCATATTACTTTTGAGGATCTAAAAAATAACATCTCTTGAAAAGTTTTTAACAATACTCCAATATTTACAGCTTGAGTCCATCATATTTTCAAAATTTAATGATTTTGTTTCAAATGTAAAGAGCTATCAACTATTGAAAAAAAAAAAAAAAAAAAAAAAAAAAAAAAAAAAAAAAAAAAAAAAAAAAAAANAAAAAAAAAAAAAAAAAAAAAACAAAGAGCGAGAGCGAGAGAGAGAGAGAGAAATAGGAAAGGGAACTGTAAAACCAAAAAAAACATAACTTAAAATTTTATTATTTATTTATTGTAATATATTTCAAAATGTATCCAAATTTTCTAAAAGGGAAACAACTAAAAACAGCTGTTTCAATTTTATAAAACAACAGTCGCACAAGTGAAAATAAGAGTTTTGAATCAACAAGCTCACACATTACATAAAATAATACAACAAAAAATTATAGGATACAGAGAGGAAGGATTAAAATGTACACAGAAGGACTTGGATAAGTGAAAAGACTAATAATAAAATTCTAATAATCGAAAAATGTATTATATAATACACGCATTTAACCTTAATTTACAGACTTGATACAGGAAATAAGAGTTTTTTTTTTTTTTTTTTTTAAAAATTGAGTTATCTTTGATTTTTAGGGTATCTAGTTGCCTGAAGTTAGTTAAATCTACAAGTTTTCTTGGTGAATGAAAATTAATTATATTTAGTAGTAGCTTTTCAAAGCACTTTTGGTGATGTAAAGAAATGATTGACTTCTGATTATTTCTACTTTAATATTTATATTACTTTTTTATTTAATTTCAACTTTTCCCTTTCTCTGTACCCAAAGATGTAATAAATGCATCTTTTACCAAGGGTGTATCAAGCATGAATGACATTTTCAAGCATCAAGAATTTTGATTTAAATAACTATAATTAAATTTGGAATTAAACCAGTCCTATTAGTTTTAAGGTATAACGTTAATTAAGTTTAGTAGACAAAAAGGAAACAATAAGATAAGGATCATTTCGCAGTTATAAATACTGTGAAATAAGAATAAGAAAGAAAAAAAATTATTATTTATAATGCTTTCTGCTCCCATAAGGTACATTATGAAATTTGTTTCTAGAGACAATAAGAGCCTCTTCAAATTTATAAAATATTTTCACTCATAAATTTAATGACAAGATGAAAAAATAGATATTTTGTTAGTGAGTTTTAAAATAATTTTTTATTAAATTGTACCTGTAATTATTGTGATCTAATAATATCTGTGTTAAACCAGACAACTCTCAACCATATTAAAACTTTTCTTCACGACAAAAGGAATGAGAAAATTTTAAATTATGTTCTACACTTTTTATTTATATTATTTCAAAAAAATTTACTTAATTGAACAAATACTTATTTTTATTAAATAATTTATCGAATTGAGTAATGCATAAGAAAGAGGAAGCAAAGTATTCTGGAATAATCATAAACAACTCAACATTTCTGTTTTAAGACAAAACATAGTAGATAACTTTAGGAAACTAATATTTTCGAAATAAAAAATAATTACAACTAGTAAATAAAATATGATTAGATTAATTTTTAAAAATTAATAAGAGAAAAAAGGAGAATTAATATGAGCAAATTTTATAAAGGGTGAAGGTCTATCTCCAAAATAAGAATATGCAATGTTGTATTTTTTACTAAGCCAACCCACATATTTTAAAAATATTTTATAAACTGAGAACACTAGCAAAAAGTAAAGTAATTATAAAAAATTAAAATTTGAGAAAAAAAACTAATAAATTGCATGGAGTTTAAGAAGATTTCATAAATTGATCAATAACTTATATAAAGGAAGAAGTACAGCAGCATCTTAATCAACAGAAAAAAATAATTAAAAAAAACATTAAAATGCAAATATTTGAGAAATATCTTTTAATATAAGTACAGCAACTTACAAATCAGTTGACCTCCTATTTACTAATAAAAATGAAGAAATTTTTTTTGTGGAATTACAAAAACCTAAATTTTTTTTTTTTGTGGGGGAGGCGGGGACCAATAAAAAAGTTATCAGTAAAATACTGAAAAACAGCCTTAAAAAAATGTATACATGATTTTACTTGGAGAACATTTCATGGTACACAACAATGGACATGAATGATTAAAGCACAAATAAAAATAACCTGTTATACAGTTTATCAACTAGATACAACATGTGTTCAATAGAAAGTACAGTAGATTTTACCAACTTTAACAATTCATTCAAAAAAGATTTTTTTTTTTTTAAAGTTGCAAGAAACAAAGCATAAAATGTCACTTTATTTCAATATAATTGAAAGTATTCTCAAGAAATAACAGTAATAAATTCAAAGAAAAATTTAAATTCTGAAAAATAAAATAACGCAAGATGTTTGAGAGCAATAATATAAATTTTAAAAAATACTTACGTAATCCAGAAGCTACAGAAGTCAGTGACGTGGTTGAGGCCAGCTGACGAGCTGGAGCTTTTATGTAATAAATATAAAGTTTAGTAACAAAGAACAAATCAAATTTCAAATACCACAGCTAGAAGAAGTTCAGAAAGACCTAAAATAACACTTAAAGTAAAATTAAAATTGAGTGATAAATATCTTCTGATAGGATTCTTAGAAACAACTTCTGTAAAAGTATCATAAGGAAATTATTGAAAATCAGCACTTCATTCCGAAGCAACAAATTTAATTCAGCACATGGCATAGCTGCCGATATTTCAAAAGAAAAATGAATGATTCATTCTGACTAAACAAATGTTTCAATTCAATAAATAAACAAATGCTTCAATTCAATAAATAAAAAAATTTTCAATTCAATAACTAATCAAATATTTCTGAATTAAATGTACAATATTTTTTAAAATTAAAAGAGAGAACTAGTATTTGAAGAGAATTAACTCTATTTCTGCATCCTAGCTAATAGTTTTATATTAAAAAAGTGCATATCGTGTAGTTCTGTTTTTCCTAAAAGCATATTCAGTCGTTAAAAAGTTATTAATTATGTAGTCAAAAATGTATCAATCTTTTTAAAAATAGAAAAACTATGAGGCAACTTTCTCTTTTTTTTTTAACGTGAGCACTATTCTGGTTGTTGTTAACACATTAATAATTTCAGGAATATTCAAGTTATTGATAAAGATTGGAACATCAGCAAATTTTGGAAAAATTAGAGATATAGCTACAATATTTAGAAGTTAGCAACAATGGTATGAATCTGTCATAAAGCTAGCATTTCAACAGAAAATATATTATCAGTAATGAATTATCTTAAACCTTTCTTTTCAAGCATTCCTGATCAAAAAAATCATACACAAACGTAACTTACAAAAACTGCAATAAGGTGAGAAAGTCAAATAACTGTGTTTTTACTAATTAATAATATATAGATAGATAGATATAAATATGAGCTGATATTAAAATCTTTCCCTGTATGAAAAAGTGGATTTATAAGGAAGTTATGTTGCTGATGCACTTTAATGAACTTGATAGCTAAAAATTTTTGATCTAGTTTACAAGTAAATTTAAAACAAAATGAAAATAGAAAAACTATGCTTTTAAAATAATTAAATGTGGAAAGATTTTATTTTTGGATGATTTTAAAAATCAGGTAATTTTATGTGTTTTTCACTATATAGTATGCAGAATTAAATAATTTTAAAACATTTCACTTGTTAAAATTTAATTGTTAATATTAACTGTAGATATTTTAAGCAAATTATTTTTTAAAAAGTCTTAATTGGTAATTTTTTTTTAAGAGTTACACATTTTTCAAGCAAAATATGCCATTTTCTACAGTCTGAAGAAACTCAAAACTAAGGAGGACATTTACGACAGCCCACAAAATAGTAAACATCTATTCAAATAAAATTTTTGTATACTTAACAAGCATGCTTTTTAATTTGGAGGAGGGACTTAAAGAATGCTAATTAATTTGGGCAAACAGTATTTTAAGTTACAAAATCAGATGTAAAATGTTCTTTCTCTAAATAAGCATTTTTTTTTTCCAACAGTGACAAATTTTTGTTCTTCAGAAAATAAAAGGTAGCTGCAATCAAGAAATATGGCCCCAATAGTTAAATTAGAAAACAAGTAAAAGTTTGAAACCATAAATATTAATTTCACATTTTGAGAATTTAATTATAAATCTAATTTTGTATCTAGCAAGTTAAAAATGTTTTGCAAAATTTGTAAAACCAAAATAAACATACATATGTATGTATGTTTATTTTGGTTTTACAAAGTGAATTATTTAATTTAATGATGGTCGGAAAAATTTTTGAATCATAAGATATACAAATTTTTACACCATTTTAAACTAAGTAATTTTAAATGACCAAATTCAAAGTTTGAAAAGAAATCAGAAGAAAAAACATTTATAGAAATAAAAAGTTTAAATAATAATGTTTTTTTTTCCTTTAAAATTTTTGTTGTTGTTGTTGCTTATTTCGAAATTATTTGATCAATTTCACTCAAAATGTGAATTAAAAAATGGATTTAAAATAAGCAAGATTGTAATACTTCATAATGCAAAATAGTTTTGGCAAGTATTAAAGTGGATAGTAAAAAATCTCAAAAATTTAAATTATGCATAAAATTACTTTTGGATAAACAAGTTTCACAAACATGTGTAAAATTATTTGTATTCTCTAAAGTAATTCCAAAAATATAGCAAAAGAAGCATAAAGCAAAATTAAGAAGTAAGGGTCTTAAAAACTGACAACAACTGTCCTCACTAAAATATTGGAACCATACTAGAGTTTATAGCCCCAGGGGAGGAACTCACTTCTTGCTTCTCTTTGCAATATGATGTCTAACTTAAGGGGTTTTTCAGGACCGCTTTAAATTTAGATTATTTTAAAACTGAAATCCATCATCACATTGGTTTGCTTAATTTCCTATCAAATAATCTTTTACATTACTAATGTTTTTTTTAAACAACATAACTGAACAAGGTCAAACATTTTCATTCGATTTGAATTTAAATCAAAGTTTATGCTCCCCTTAAATGTTTTTTATTGTATTTATTGTTTTTGATTGATTAAACAATCAACTTTTACTGTAGGACATTTTTCATTGAATATATTCATATTCTTTCAAAATAGATATCCTACTCAATTTCCATTTAAATTGGATAAAAATTTGAAGTAGAGAAAAGTAACGAATAAAGGAAATTGGGAAGATTTAAAAGAGAAAAACATTTTATTTTGTATAAATTATTTTTCATGAATTTGGCGTCCCTCTAAGGCTGCATACGGGGACAGATGCCACATTAGCTATGCTTCTAGGACCATGTTTTCTAGATTGCAACTACAATCCATTAATTGAGAGTCAAGAATCCAAATCTTCAGGAAAAAAAAATTCTGTTTACACAGAGAGAGTATGCTTTTATGACTGACTTTGTAATTTAAAATAGGATCTGCACTAATTAATTAGCTAATTTAAGAAAAGATTCTCGAACTATTAAAATTTCATTTTAGTAAGAAAAATTCTGATTATCAAATCAAAAGTTATTTAAATGTGATTTTTTTTATTCTCCAAAAGAAATTAATTACTTAAAAAAAATAACTAAACGTTTAATTACTAAAAATTTTACTACAGTTAATACTTATATTTAAAAAATAAATATGATAAAGTATTAATATGGTAGTTACAGCAAGAAAAAAATTCCCTATAGTTCTTTTTTTATTGTTACATAAAATTTAAAAAGAAAATTAATAATTTTTAACAAAGACAAGTTCAATTGCAATTAGACAAGACATTAAAAACTAGCCTAGAAAGATGATAGAACTTTATAAAATGGAAAATATTCAATAAATCATTAAAATAAAACTTTATTATTCCAACTAAAGTAAGAATATTAAAATAATATTTGCCAATTAAAAAACTGAAAAATGTCAGAGTGACTTTATGCTCATTTTGAATACCTTTTGACTTTGCTTTTTTATATACTTCTTGAGCAATTGCCACCATTTCTGTATTAGTAACTGAAAGCAAAACTTCAGTCAAAGTGCGTCGAACTTTCAACATCTAAAATATAAAATTCAGGAATCAAATATAGCTATTAAAAATAACAGTAAAAAATCTAACTTTTTTACCAAATTTTTAAAAACAAATTTAAAATTCGTGTTTGCAAAAAACTAGAATGAATTTTAAGCACAGTATATCTTTGAATATCTAATGTAATTGGGATTAAACCTTTCATTAACTAGCAAAACTTTTTTACTTTTTGCCCAAGAAAATCATTTTGGTTTTTTCATTTTTATAAGCCAAGAAGTATAGCATCTGATCAATAAATACATGAAGCACATCTTTTATTCATTCAAAGCCAGTGAAACAAGAGTGGGATTTCTTATGCTCCTAATTTGTTGTTGTAGTTCATTTACGTCGCACTAGAGCTGCACAATGGGCTATTGGCGATGGTTTGGGAAACATACCTGAGGATGATCTGAAGACATGCCATCACAATTTTGATCCTCAGCAGAGGGGATGCCACCTCTGCTTCGGTAGCCCAACGACCTGCACGCGAAGTCGAGCATTTTACGGTAGCACAGTTTAACGAGGACCAATACCGCACACTCTCGGTCCCTACGCATACTGAACCAAGTGGTCACCCACTCGCACACTGACCGCAGCCAGTGATGCTTGACTTCAGTGATCTGCTGGGAACCGAGTCTTAACGATCAGTCCACTGCGGGACGCTCCTAATTTGTTCTTAAGTCATCATAACAGCAAGAGTGACACTACTACTACTTGAACGCTCTTGAAAAAAACTAACATTTTTTTATGAATTTGTTTAATGTGACCCAGAAAACGTAATTAAGAATACTATTTATACAATGATTTGATAAAGATATGTTGTGATAAGAGGGGGGGGGGGCAAACAGCAAAAACAAGAACACAAATAAAAAGTTATGAATCATTTTTCTGTAATTCTTCACTTAAAATTTAATTATTCAAAATCCTATTATACATTGAATTGTTAAAACATTTAAGTTATAACCAAGAACTAATTTGAAGAATTACTATATATAGTTGATAATAACTATGTTTAATATTTTTTAATGTTCAGAATAAAGTACATGCTTCAAAAATTTAGAATAGAGACCAACATTTCTATAAAACAAACATATTTCTTAAAAAAGGAAATTATGAAAAATCCTTATTATGTATTTTCAAATCTGGCCAATAGGAAACTAAAAAAATTTATTAAGTTTAAAACTTAATAACTACCCCTTCCGCAATTCATTAATTTTAAAATTGAAGATTTTATAAATGTAAATGGAGTAAAATTAGATCAACATGCAACTGGTGATAAATAAAACTTTTAAATGGTTCCTAAAAGAATTAATGTAAATAAAAAACACAAATATATGGTGTGTATTATGAACTTGTATTTTATTATATAATCCAATTTGTGTATCACCTTAAAAATTAAGTAATTTTAAAGTAACTTCTCATTAAATATCTTAATTAAATATAGTTCTGTGTAATAACACTTATTATATTTTAATAAATGCACATTTCTTTAAATTCTAGTTTTTTTTAAATTTATTTTCCCCTTTGCATTTGAATTACTAAAAATATCCTGCATCTATACATATTAATTAAAAGTTATCAAAGTTTCAATGAAATTTAAAATCACAGAAATTTAACTTTTTTTCTTACCATGTCTTGTTTTTTTTCTTCTTCAGTTCTTAAATCTTCTATAGGTGATGGCATTCGTTTTAAAATAGGAGAATTTCTTTTAATAGGTGCCTCTTGTACTTGTTCATCTTCACTATCACTGTCCTAAATTTATAAGTAAATATATCAGTACAATAAATATAAGCCTAGGAGCAGAAACCCCCCAGCACTGCAAAATTATCTTTTTAATCTGAGATATAGAAAGAAATTGATATATATTTATATATATATATAGATAGATAGATACATATCAATATATTTGGATATCTATATACAGTGAAACTCGGCTATAGTGAACCTTCAAGGGACCAAAATTTCGGTTCACTATATCTGTTCCGAAAACAATTATAATTAATCTTTCCAAACTGCCCCCCTCCCTTATTACAAATTATTTAAATAAATGACCAATAAAATGAAATACAAAAATGACTGAAAAATAATACGCAGTAACAAAAATGTGTTAACTTTTATTTTCTATTACTCTTCGCCTTGCATACAAAATTATTTTTTAATCTTTAGCTGATGCGGAATCTTCAACATCAGATATGGAAACACTTCCTGACTCTCCCAAAATTTTTCCTGAATTTATGTTATTCCGCTTTTTAAACCTGTTTAACCATCAATTCAAGAACATAAAAGTAGTCACATCACAAATCGCTTAGCTAATTCATCGGCTTTCACTTCAAGCATTTGTCTAGATACTGGAAGATTGCAACTTCTTTGATTAATGAACCAATTCAATAATGCTATTCAACAAAGACGCAAACAAGAAAAAATGCTTATAATACAGTCCATGCTATAGATGGTCTTAAAAATCGGTATATGTATTTATTTTGAAGTAGAAATTTCAAAATTATTACAAAAAAATGGAGAAAATAAATCAGTCGAAGACAGAAAAAAGTTCATTATATCCAACTTCCTCTCCTATTTTGGTTCACTATATCCACCAAAAACATCATTATACGTGCGTAGCAAGGCAATATATATATTATATTATATCAAAATATATATATATTATATATACATCAAAATTTCTAGAAGTCTCTTCAAAAAATTTCTGAGGGAATGGGAAATGGTGTACATATACTAAGTTAATTTATAGAATTAAGTTTGAATATAATTTGCATGCATTTTTTCTTCTGCTTAGTTATTTAGATTATTTAAATGTGGATGTATTCCATCCTCATTTTTAAACATAATTTCACGCTTCAAATTGAATTTAAACAACATACATTTCTCATGTTGGATTTTTATCTACCTGAAATTTGCGAATTTAAATTTTGCTATACTATTGTTTGGGTAATCCTGATTTTTACAATAATAGTCTCCACTTGATTGCATTTGGATGGCAGAAAATTTTTTATTAATAAAAATGGAACAGCAGATTGAATTAGTTAATTCTGCTACTGAGAATATAAGTTATAAAATCAAAACACGAGAGAAAAAGAAATCAAACTGAGCAGATTTTGATTTTAAGCTAAAGTAGTAAAATTAAATTGGTGACTAAAAGTGTGTATATAATGGGAAAAAACTTAGCATTTCAAGCTTAAACCAAATCAATTGAAAGATGAAAATAACTTACAAATTTTGATTTCGGTACAAATGAAGGTGATCTTGAATTTAGTTCAGATTTCACCTTAGACAATTTTTCTTCTCGTTCCTTAGCATTTCTCTCCTTTTCAAGCCTTTTTAAACGCTCTTGCTCCATTTTTTCCAATCCATCTCTTATCCAAGCAGGAAGTTGTTTACGCTTAGCAGCATCTAAAAATTAAAATAGATAAAATATAGAATATATTATACAAGCATATACATACATATATTATAAGCCTCATATCTGACTGTCCGTTTACTGCAAGGGTCATTTTTCTACACACGTATTAATAATCAAAATAAATAGAACTCTTTTACACTTTTTTTCCCCTACATTTGTGACTTGATGAAAAAAAGTATAAAGGGATGAGAATCCTCTGATTTTCGCATCTTTTTGAATTTTTCTCTACTTCCGATTTTTGTTCGATTTTAATTCCATTTCTGGTACAATATGAAAAAAATTGTATATCATAGGAACAAAATTCAAAATTTCACTAAAGCACGAAAAAAATCGCATATTTTTTCACGTCTCTCACAAAAGAATTATTATTGCCAAGAATCACGTATTTAATTTCAGAGTGCACAAAAATTTCACATTTTGAAAAATTTTTGATTTGAGATGGAATTATCTGAACCAAAGGGGGTCATCAATTGATTATTCAAAAGAGCAATTCGGAATTTGCGAATCATAATAATATTCTATTAAAAATGGAATTGACATTATAAAAACTGTGGAGAAATCCCAAACCGTTGAAATGGCGATTGACAAAACCACATGGACAATAAAATCTTGACTAATCGAGTAATCAAAAAGTAATTCTACAAATGCATGAATAAAAATCTCCCATGTATGATATTATAGCATTAAAAAAGTATGAAAATTAGTAACAACTGACAAAAATGTGATAGTCCATGTGAGTTTGCGGGTAAATCGTCAATAATTGAGTGCCAAATGCGCAATTGGAAGTTTGCCAATCAAAATAATATCACATTAAGACATTGAGATTTTAAAAACAATGTGAAAATCCATTTTAATAGCTACCGAAAAAACGATCAGCCATACCGATTTACGGTAGAATCGTTGTTAATCGAGTAGATTGAGAAATGATTACTAACAGAAACATGTGATTCGGAATTTGTACCGAAATTTTAAAAAACATATGGAAATCTGTAACAAAATCTTTCGAAATAGTGCAACTACGCAAACCACAGTGATTTATTCGTTGTTTATTGAAATTGACATTAATTATCGTCTATTTGTTAATTTTTATTGAAATAAGATGTTCTGATATTTGTTTACCTTAACTGTATTTAGAATGTTCTGATATTTAGAACTATTATCCGTAAAAATCTATTTCCTGGACTTGCTGAAGTCTGAACGATTCCGGAAATGGGACTTTCAACTCTGCTACCAAAATGTTAGCCAAAATTAATATAGTAAGTATTTTAAGAGCAGTTACTGAACAACAATTTTACTAATATATTTCAGCATTAAAATGGTATTTAAGAATCCACATGATTTTCAGACACTTATTGATTTCTTGAGGAGACTCAACATTGTCAATCTTGAATTTCTCTGATAACTTTGAGTGTCTAAGGAAAATGCAAAATTTCTAGCACATTTATCACAGATAGTCGTGAATCAACTTGAATGTGTTATTTTATATTCAATGGGAAAAAATTGAGTTTTGTAATGCAATTTTTTATTTTTGTACATCAAATGATAATAATTAAAGCCCTAGAATCAATTTAGAACTTTATGAAATGAATGTGTTAGAATCAGGAGTGAAAGTTATAAAAATTCCTCTTAAGACTGTAGGTTTAAAAAATAAAAAAGTATTGTGTTTAAAGTTCTAAGCAGATAAAAAAAATTAATAAAATTTAGATACTAACAAAATAAAAACAGGTATTGCTAATAAAATTAGTCAACGAAGTTTGGGCAAGAAAAGAAATATAAACATACCTAAGACTCATAATGATTGCTTAAAAAATAAAATTACAACAAATAATCTCACTTTATTTAAGAATGAAACTTTGCATCACTAGATACAAAAAGAAATGTCTGCTTTTTACAAATATGTAACACTAACTAATTTAATATATCAGAATTTTCTCCAGAATTAAGATTTTTTTATCATTCCTGAAACTTTAAAATAAATTAAGACTTAATTCTAAAAATAAGATGCTAAAGTAATCATTTAATTAGCTAATAATAAAAGTAATTCCTCGATAACACACATCACAACAAACAAATACCTCCGTCAAAGTTTGAGTTGCAGACTATATAGTATTTTGTTTTATCACTTTTTTACTTCTACCTAGTTCTGCCTTATTCTATCTTACAGATGTTTAAGAGACAGAAATCTCTCAAAGGACTGAAAATTTTCCCTCCAGGTGAAAATTTCACATTTTCCCAAAAAACTCAAAATTGAAGAAAAACTTCAAGATTGTTGGTACAGTTCAAGTTCAACTTATGTTAGTAAAATTTATAACCTACCAAGTTGCGTAGTTTCCTCTTCAGCTGGAACATTAGAAGTAATGTTTCTCTCTTTCTTTAAAAATATTGGAGCTATTGTGGGTGCTGCATTCACTTGGGACCAATATTGATCATATTGACTTTCTGCAACAGGAGGAGGCACTGGAGGAGTATATACCTGCAAAAATCAATATTTTAATAATGTAGGATATTTTCTATACAATAAAAATTAAAACATACATAAAACCTATATCATTTCATTTTTTTAAAAAGAAATCAAAACGTAAATTTATTATTAACTTAATACAAAAGTTTCATTTCAAAGCTTCTCTAACAATACATCATTTACCTGATTATAAGGATAATCTGACATATGATTGTAATCGATTGTCTGCATTGCGAGTGGAGGGTTATCATGCACATGCCCATAATCAAATGTCTCCTTTCCACCTATTATAGGTGGTGCAACAGGTTCAACAGGTGCGTTCCACAGTCTCTCTTCAACATTATTAGATCCACTCCACTGAGGTTTGCTCCAGAAATTAGTTTCTCCACTCTTAGGCATAAAATTATCTGAAATAATTAAAGACTAAATTTTAAATAATATTTAAATAAGCGAAAAATAACATTCAGCTTCAAATAGAGGTGATACTGTAAAAATAAAGTAAGGCTGTCATTGGGTTTTATTTTTGTTACACTTTTTCAACTCAATACCCCACTGTATGGAACCTTGAATTCAGTGACATGTAGAAGCGGAGTCATGGGTGTGAAATATGATAAAATCAGAGTCAATGGTTATTCATTCATCCGAAAATCCATATTTCGTTAATCCATATAAGATGGATGAATTGCATACGTTATAACAAAATGCTTTATAACAGAAAAATAGATTTAATAACAATATCGAAATTGATGTTAATGTTACAGTGTAGGAGTGGAATCTGAATATTAACTAACAATACATCACAGTGCAGAGCGCTATCTGTGAGAATAAGAAGTAAATATTATTAACAATAGGATCAATGGCCCAAGGCATTCATCCAAAGCGGACTATCAATTGACAACAAACGTAAAATAACAAATGTAGTTTACTAGCAAAACAAAAATTTTTTAAGGTAGTGACTACAAACTAAAGAAATACCTAAGATAAATTTATTCATACTTACATGAGCCAGATTGCAATCCTATATCATTTTTTATAAATTTGTTCTTTTAACCTTTAGCGTTTTAAGCTGTTCTCCGCACATATTTAACTTCAGAAATACTAAAAAATCTTCAACTATTTGAGTGTTTAGTGTTCTTTTATTTCCTCAAAGATATGAAGTACACGAAAAATTACAGAAAAAATATATCCCCTTTCATTGAAATAACATCAATATGTTTCATAAGTGTACATTTACATTTGAAGGTGTGGCTAAAGGATTAAATTAGCTATCATTCGTAACAACTAGTTTAGATATTAGTACTAATACGCAATTGTTGTTAATGCTCGGCCACAGGGGTATTTTTATCACCTCCATTGAAAGACTCGTAAAAAAATTGAATTAATCAGATTTGAAAAATTAGTTGTTTGAACCTTTTTTCTTTACTAAATTAACGTTCAAGACAATGCCAAGAATCGCTACAAACTACAGTTTTTTATCCCGCTATTCACTACACTACTTTAAAAAAAAGTAGCACACTATACTACAAAATAAAGTAGGGACTGCAATAGTTTTGCTACTTATAGTGTGGTGCAAATGCTGACCACTGATTTAGAGATCAAAAAGATTAAAAAAATTATATTACCAGAATCAGATTCAAATGGCCTATCAGTATGAAATATTTCAGAAACATGACTAGGAGGTGCTGGAGTCTTCAAAAGAGGAGGATTAATATTACGCTCATTGACTTCATCTGGTATATGAGGATGCCCGGGAGCATGAGATAAAGACACAGGTGGATGAATTTGAGGAGGTAGAGATGGGGTTCCATCTGATGGTGGAGTTTGTTGCATTTGTATCCATTGTTTGGCTAGTTCTGCCCAATCAACTAAAATGAACATTATTTTAATTAATAAATTTAGTATATTAGTGAACTTTAAGGTCAATTAAAATAATTATATAACAGATACAAAAAGGAAAAAAATCAAAAAAATTGCATAAGAACAATAGTTAATTTTATTATTTGTTTAAGAAAATTTAATAAGATTTTTAAAAAATAAAAGTAGCCTAGCAATCAACACATTTAGTGTTCCTACTTTCAAATAAGTTAAGGTACTACTAGTTTCGTTATAATTTTTATCTTAATGTTGACATGAATTGTGAAAAAATATTACAAAAAACCTTTGATGTCAATTACCTTGGGACATTATAAACAAAATTCTTATTATACTAGTAAAATTTAGAAAAAACTAGTAAATTTTAGAAAAAACTTTTGAATTATAATTCTATATTTTAAATAGAGACCTACACAGGATTTTGCTTTAAAGAAGAAGATATAAAATTAGAACAGAAGGAAGTTTTAAAAGCTTACATTTAAAGCAAATAAGTTCCAGAACTCTCTTTTGATTAGTTGCATTACTAATAAAATTAAAGCAAAAGCAAATAAAATTTCCATTTAGCTTTTATAACTTTATTTCATCTGGTATAATATACTCTCTTAAACTGTTCTTAGAGTTCTTTTCCCCCTATTTTAAATTGCTCAACAAATAAAGTGTAAACATTTTCAACATCCTGGCTTGGGCTAGTGTCTGGGTGAATTGCTCTTTTTCTGATTGTGTTTTATTAATAAAACCCACTTTAATACAACAACCCTGTCAGCTTCAAATAAATAAAAGTATGTCTGGCAGAAGAGAAGCTTTGTGCAGAGACTTGTAACACTATTCCCATCTGTTTTTCCACTCTTCTCTACTTTGTTGTTGTGTAATCTATATATGTGCTAGTATTTCCTTTAGATCATCATTAGAATGAACTCTGAACCTTTATATTTAGCTCATTAGTACAACTTTAGTGAAATATAAAAATAAATCCAAAAAATCCTCCACAATAACAAAATAAATTATTTTTCAAGCTTGCATTTGATAATGATGTTTGCATAATGATGCTCAGTAAAATATTTTAACTCTCAGGTATGAAGATATATTCTTTTTCTAGATGCAAAATCAGTTTTCTTACGTTATAAGTAGGGAAAACGCTTTATTTCGAAGAAATATTCTCTCAAATTTGCCTATTTGTAATACCACCATATGGTTTAGGGAAAGAAAAAAAAGAGGGAATAGCATTGTAACTAACAATGTATAGTTATTACCTGTATAAAACATGTATATCAGACTTGCTACACATTTACATTACAATATGTTAAAAGTTATAAAACAGATAAGAATATATTTCTTTTAAATTTTAACTTAAAATGGGGTATAACATGGGTCAAGTTAGTTCTAGTTAAGTAGATAATCTTCTCTTAGTGCTGTTGTTTTAATCTGTCAAATTCTTTCTTTTATTTTATTTAATAGGTAATAAATAAAAAAACTACATTTATCACCAGAATTTGTTTCAACTATTTTTTTTTACTTAATTTCATGTTCATATAATAAAAAGCAGCTCATCATATCAATGTATACTGAAATACAATTTATTAAAAAATTATTCGCATAAATTTCAGTCAAATTTTTTTTTGTTATTATTATAGATGCAAAATCAGTTTATAGAGCAAAGATGAACTACAATACTGACACTGGAAAGATTAAAATAATTTATTAATATGGACAACAACACAATACTATACATTTCGTGTTTGATGATTTGTTAGCCAAATACTGCAATAAATGAAGTTAGGGTAATTATCAGTCAGCCTGGCACAAGTTAAATGTCGCCAAAATATATACATCTCCAGTTTCTTTTTTAATTTAATTTATTTTTTTCAAAGAAATAAAAATTCCAATAGAATCCATTGCGAACCTAATCAAAAAGTAACAGAGCTAGTTTTAATAGTTAATTAGACTAATTCCCTTCCATAGGAAATCTAATAACTGATATAGTGCTCCTTCCATGATCTTCATTAAAAAACAATCAGCACAAACAAAAAGAGCTCACTATAAGAAGCAGCTGATAATGGTAGCAAAACTGGGTGAATTCTTGAGATGCTTAATAAAATTATCAATTTATTAAAATATAAATAGATATGTATGACTTACTCTGCTCATGTGGCACATCATTAAACATAGCGGGTTGCAAAGCCCACTGATTCCAACCTTGTGATCCCCACATTATTCAACTAAATTAAGAAATTTATTAGTGACAATTTTACTGTACAAATGACAATAGATAAAAGGGACCTTAAATTACTCACTTAATGCCGAATATTAGAATTGACGAAGTTTTCAATATTAAAAAGTACTTAAAAAGGAATTTTCAATTTGAACAATATCACTTTTAAAAAAATATTACAATAATAAAGTGGCAATTATTTAGTCTCCCACAAGCGCTTCAGAACACAATTTTTGAAAACTAAATATCATAGCAATAGTAATGTAACAAGGGAAAAATTCCATAGAATCAGCAATCTCAAATATAATGATAGAAAATGCAAATGATCTTTAAATATTTTGACGCATTATATCAGTAAAGCGTGTTACACCGCTAAAACTTATACAAAACGTAGAATTTCATATTAAAAATGTCTAAATAAAACACAAAACAAACATCAAATACGATTACAATTAATTTTAAAACTGTCTACCACTACATTCCTGAAATATGCCTCTAGATGACGCTGCTAGTCAAAGTGAATTTATATATTAAGTGTTTAGCAGCACAAAAACAATAAGTCAAAAGCGTGCAAGAATCGAAAAGCAAAGTTTTGTTTGATAAGGAAATCTCTCATAGAAAATATTACTCCACAAACTATTCTTTCCTGTAGTCTAGTTGGAGGGGGTATTAGGGGAAAAGGATCACCTGCATTGTCTTTTATGTTGTTGTAGTTCATTTACGTCACACTGAAGCTGCACAATGGGCTATTGGCGACAGTGTGGGAAACATCCCTGAGGATGATCCGAAGACATGCCATCACAATTTTGATCCTCTGCAGAGGGGATGGCACCCCCGCTTCGGTATCCCGACGACCTGCACGCGAAGTCGAGCACTTTACGGTTGCACAGTTTAACAAGGACCCATACCGCACACCCTCGGTCCCTACGCAGACTGATTCAAGTGTTCACCCACCCACACACTGACCGCAGCCAGTGATGCTTGACTTCGGTGATCTGCTGGGAACCATGCCTTGACGATCAGTCCACTGCGGGACCATTGTCCCTGATGCAACACAGATTCTTTCAAAAGATTAAGAGAAAAAAAAAAGCGAAGGAACAGTTTCCAATGAATAACACGTTGGAACAAATTTTTAATAATTAGCAACATATCCAAACTTGAGTTATTGCTACAGGTTCTCTGGAATTAGTGTGTTTTAGATTAAATAAGATTTTTTAAACTTTTCTGTTATTGTTTCTACACATATATCGGTTTTTTTTCGCAAGATATGAAGGCAATATTTTAATATGGGACATTGTTTTAAATTAATTGCGATTTTAGACCTTGCATGTTATGGAATAAACAAGATTTTCTTTTAAAGCATTTTCCTTTTTATTTCTAAATATACAAGGATATTTATGGTAAATATGACGTCCTCTCTTTATTATTAAATCCGTTTTAATCCATCCCTGTGTTAAAGAAAGAAATTACAGAAAATTCCCAACATGATCACACGTATGTCAGTGCTATATATATGGTCTGTGTGCTTTGCACTAATTATAAAGAAACATCCGTTGGAAATTACTTGAGATATGTCGGTGTTCCCAGAAAATATAATCAGTAAATCAAATGAATAACGTGATGCAAAAAATTTCCAAATGAACCACCCTTATGTTAGCGCTAAAGATATCCTAGTTTTTGAGCTAAATGAGATTTGTTTTGAACTAAGTATGATTTTTTTCTTGAAAAACTACAATAAATATTTCTAGCTATATATAAAAATTTTCAAAAAATACGACACATATGTTTTAATATGAAATCAAAAATGAATCTCGTATTGCAAAAATGCCTACCATTTTTCTTACAGTAAATATGAATTGGAATTTGCATGCTTTGGACTAAAAATTATTTAAAAAAAAGCATTTATAAGAATTTCTATTTATACATCAGTCTAATCGGTGCTAATAGAATCTTTTTTTAAAACTTTTTTTATTTAGAAATAAAAAAAGTTTTGAAAAAAGATTCTCATATACGTTTAGTAATAGAACTATTACTAAACGTATATGGGATATTATTGATGAATACGATTCCCTTATTTTAACATAAAACCAGTTTCAAATAAATCATTCGGTGTAAAAAAACGAGCGCTAGACCAATAAATACAAGAATATTTTTGGGACAAGGGAAGAACCACAAAAATATTTTTGCCAACTTTGATAATTATGTTAGTAGCTGTTTTTCTTGCTGCATTTAAGTATTAATGAAAAGAGACAAAAATAAAATAGCAAATGAAGACGCAGAACTTTGTTTTTTGAAGTGCAAGCGTTTATTAGGTTTTGCATAAAATATAAAACATTTTCAAATACTTGCAGAACTAAAGTTTCAGAATTAATTATCGTATATTGCTGGTCCATTTGAAGTTACAGGTGGATAGCACCTTTTTAAGAAATGATCTGAAAGGGAAAAGAACGAATTATATTGAGTAATAATCACAATAAATGTATTACATGTATTAGTATAATAGTGTCCGTTAGAGTGAGTACTGTATGTTGATTTCAAAATTTTATATACGAACCTTGTAGTGTTTTATAAAAGAAAATAAAGTCAATCTTGAGAAGTTTAGCGTAGACATATCCAAAACCTTTACAACTTCTACTTCGATTATAACACTGCAACCCTATTTTTGTTTTATTTTATAGCCGGCGTTGAATTTACAATTATCAATGTTCAAATCCGTTGCCTTGAAGACACAGGAACTCCTGGGTAAAACTAGCCGTCAGGGAGGACTTTTTGATGGAACTAACCTGAATTTGTGCTACATGGAGAAGAAAACCAAGAAAGCCACTAATGGTTAGACCCACGACTAGGGAATTCTTACCCATGAGCCGTCTGTCCCTGAGGATATTTTAAGCCAGTCATTGCGAGTCGGGAGAGGAATTCGAACCTGGGTCGTTTCATTGGTTGGCGAATACTCTATCCCTTAGCCACAGCAGCGCACTGCAACCCCATTGTAGTCCTTGGTTGTATAACAAAGTTGTCATTACTTTACAGGTGACCCTAAACCGATATACAGATCTCGAGACCGGGGACCGAGGCCTCAGGTTGTACAGAGCCAATTTGCGAGACCTCTAAAAGGGTCGACAAGTTTCAGTTAACATGACTGGTTTTTAATCACAATATATCAAAAGATAATTTCTTAGACAACAACGAATTGTAAACAATCTGAAGCCCTATGTAAAAGGACATCAAATAAAAATTAAAAATTTAATATTGCTAAACTGTGATAGTATACAGCTTATAGTGATAGTATACAACATTAATAATTTTAAAAAAAAATTCGATTAAAAAGATTAAAAGAAAAATTTAACGTAAAAAAATAGTTAAAAGAATTTTTTTTTTTCGTATGTAATTCGTTGTAAAGGCCCCTCACCAGTTAGGGGCCCTGGGCATGTGCCCTGAATGCCCTCTATCAAATCAGTCCCTGCAGGTGACCCCGTCCTACTTAATATTTGTGAGTATTTCACAGAATGATATGTTGTCACACGCAGAGCTCGCAGTGAGATCAAAAAAGTTAAAAAGGTTTAAAAAAAAAGTTATTTAATCAAACAATTATCTTACATTTTATTATTTAGTAGGAACCACTTATAACTAACTCGCATTTAACGAGATTCCGAATTTAAGAAGAAAAAAAACTGGTGTATTTTGTTAAGTGCGATGTTACAAGAATGCACTGCTTCAGCGAGCAAGTTTTTTCTTGAATTAAACGAGAGAAATAATTTTGAATGAACGACATAATACACTGGTGGACAAAAATTAAGAGATGGAAGACATTTTCCCAAATATCTCAAAAAATACTGAATATAAATAAATGAAATTTGGTATGTATATAGCTTATTCCATGATAATAAAGTATGTAAAACAAAAATGAAAGTGCCATTCACTGGCAGGACCTATTGCCAATAAATCCAATGTAGTCTAAACTTAAGGATAAAAGATGACAATAAAAGTGAGGCTTGTACAGTGTGTGTTGCCTCTAGTATGGTGTATGGTCACCCCTGACAGACAGACAGCATGCACAACGAGTATGCATGCTGTTAATAAGGGAGTTAGGGAGGACTTGTGGAAGACCCTCCCATTCTTCCACCAGAGCAATTTTTAACTCCAGAATGGTTCTGGGGAGAGGTTGGCGCATCGCAATAGCTCTCTTAAGAGCATCCCAAGCATGTTCAATAGGATTCAGGTCAGGGGATTTGGCTGGCCAATCTATTCATTGAATATCCTCGCTTTCCAGATACTCATCAACCATGAGAGCCCTATGGGGTCGCGCATTGTCTTCCATAAAAATGAACTCACGGGCCAACAGCGCCCCCGAAAACGCACATAGGGCTCTAGGACCTCCTGCCTGTACCTCTGGGCATTCACGGAACCATTGTCAAACACATGGAGCGGTGTGCGGGTATCTTGGATGTGCGAATGAATGTGCGAAAATGCTTTCCATCTCTTAATTTTGTCCACCAGTGTATTAGAAAAAAATCAAAGAAAATGAATGTAGTGCCTCGGACAAAAAAAACTTTCATTACCGACATGTACTGTGGAATCAGTCTTGAAAAATTTATTGAAGTTACAGAACACAGGTTATGAAGCAATTAAAGCAATAAGTTCTTTATGACGGAAATTAAATGCACTAAACTTTTACAAAACTAAATAATAAATACTGATTGTAATGTATTACCAGTCTTGAAGGGGTTTTGGAACTCTACAAAGAAGACATGTCAAACTTTATTATTCATAAGGGCATTCATTCTTTATTATTCATAATGTATCAATTACTTTATTTGGATCATTCTTCAAGGTTCGTAGAAAATCTTTCAGTAATTGTTCGCGTAACTCTTTCCTCCGCTAGGTTTTTCCATGCTTTAACCATATTTAAAATTCTTTCCACTGTTTCGGAATTCTTTTCAAAAAACGGATGAATATAATTATTGTAGACAACAGCTGATCCATTATAGGGTATGGGTAGAAAGCACCATATCAAAAATATGAACTTGAAAAAAAAAGTAACAAATCATTGTTATTTCAAATATCATAAAAATAAACTAACTTATTCGAAAATGCAACTTATTTATTTATGAAACTAATAATAAATAAACTAATTTATTCGAAACAAAAATTCTCTTTTTGATTAAAGAAATTCAGAGATTTCGAGTTTTAGATATTTTCGATAACAGAATTAAAAGCAGTAGTAGCACAACAAATATCTAAAAGCCTCGTATTTGATAAATCAATGTTACAAATCATTTTTAAATAAAAGAGAGCTCTCCCTGCTCTATAACGTTCGCCAACCAAAGATTACTTTTTAATTACAGTACAGTTCACTTTGCGAACTAAGCTCGTTCTGCTCATAGTCAAGTTAGGCCTGTTTGATGTGTGTAATATTATTCGGCAATATAAATAACCGAAGAAACAACGTTAAAACAGAAATAATTGCAAAACAAAGAAACTTTATTTCTTATCGCAAAAACTATATACTTCCATCATGGAACCTATATTCTTAAAAATTATGAACAGTTTTCGGTAAAATATTTTCGCTTCTAAATGCATGCATCGCAAAAACACTATCGATTCGAATTATTGGTCATATATAACTTTATCTATACATTATTATTGCTTTTGTCTGTTTTAATAACGCATTACTTTTTTCAACTTATATACGTTTTACTACAGTGCCATTTTCCTACTATATGCTTAGACCCAGATAGCAAGCAACTTTACGGTATACGTTGATGACCGCCCTTAAATGTGCAGTTTTAGAATCCTTGTCTAAGAATAAATCTGAAAAAAAGTTAGGCACTTATATTGCAACTTATATTTAAGCGATAAAAATAACATATAACGCTGTCGCAAAAACTTATTTGATTGCTGGAGGAAATAGAGTGAAGTTAAAAAAACGATTATTTAAAACATGAATGTCGATTGTATTTTTGTTTCCTTCTAGCTTAATTATTCCCTAGCCCTCTCCTAATGTATATACTTTTTTGATTTCCGTTTTGAGAAGAATTTTTTAAAGATATGAAATATGAACGGTCATCACAAAAATCCTTTGCATGATAAAGAAGAACTATAGCCATGAATGTTGCAAAAGTTCTTGCACAAATTTCTAGGCTTACAGAATTCGAAACGATTTAACTTTAAATGCTCACTCAGACTTTTAATTGTTCTTAACTTTGGGGTAAAATGTTCTCTTTGAATCATGTATTTCTCGAATTCATGCATATTTTTCAGCCAGGTCGGGGTTGATACTTTTTTTTATCGTTTACTTAATAAAAAAGTAATTTTCTCAATTTATTGTTTACTGATTATAAATAATTGATTAAAATATAATTGAAATAATTAAAACTATTTACTTTCGCCCATCGAAATCCTGGTATCCACCACAGGAAATATTCAACTGCTTGGAAAAGCGAAAAGATTATCCAATATTTCAACCAATGGAAGCCAGTAACTTCATCCATTTGCATCTGTCGAAATCTATAAAATAATTATTAATCGAGGAATAGAAAAAATGATAAACCTTTTAAAACGTTATTCGAAACTTTATTTGTACTTCTGAAAAAAAAAACATATTTTTTAAAATATTTGTATGTTTTTAGTAAGATTAAAATTATGTTTTTTAAGGAAAAAAAAAACGGATTACCCTGAATAAGTTTGATCGAACCTTCAAGTTCTAGGACTCTATCTTAATAATTCGAAAGGATGGCCTTAAATATGCTAATTAATTAGTGCAGATGATATTTTAAGTTATGAAATCAGACACAAAAACGTACTTTCTCTGAATAAACAAACCTTTTTCGCATTTTTAACCCCTCCCCCCCAAATATAGGGGGTAGCCGCAATTTGGGAAATACGGTCTCCATATTTCGGTCAGGAGAGCGATCCAAAGTTTTGAACCTTTAAAGTTAATTTTGCTTCATCTTCTACCACATCTTGAGAACTTTTTAATCGAATTGAAAAAATTCTGCACACAATTATAAAATTTGTTTATTTAAGGATAATTCCGTACAAAAAATAAAGTTTAGTAAATATTTATTATTTTATTTAATAATAATCGAAAAAAATTTGAATCGTAAGACGTACATCTTTAAATCATTTGAAAGTATGTAATTTACAAGTTGAAAGTATGCAAGTATAGATAAACATAGATATAGTATACATAAATTATTATTTTCTAATTTAAATTATTTTTCTTACAAAACTTAAACTTTATTAAACAAAACAAATTAATAGGTGTTTTATTTATATCTTTTAATTAAAATACATTAAGTATTTTAAAAAATTTTAATAAAACTCTTTTAAATTTAACTAAAGGATTTTTTTATTTTGAAATAAATATTTTAAGTTTTTATTAAATTTAATTAGGAAAACGTAAACAAAATTGCACTATAATTCTTGATAAAAAATTATGTATTAGCAACAAAGTTTGCAATCTCAGTGACATTATCTTCATTTTGAGTAATAAGTAGTTCTTTTCCATTTATTCCTTTTTTCAATCTTTTTTAGCAGGAAAATTTCAAAGATATGCAAAATAATTAGAGATAATTATTAAATAATGAATTGAATAAAAAACAAACTTATGCTGGAAATAAATTTTTTTTTATTCGATTAGTACAAAATAAGAAAAATAAATGGAAAAGTTTCACAGAAAAAGGACTATATTTTGTATTTTTATAAAAAATGTAAGACTAAAAAGCTGAAAAAAATTATTATACTTATGTATGGTTAAAGGTAGGTAAAAAAAAAACTAGATTTGTTTTTCAACACTGCATAGTTAAACAATCTAATCGCGTTGCTTATTGAAAAAAAAAACTGTAAAGCAATGTCTTCTGGTACTTGAGGTGCTTAATTTAACATAAATATTTTTGCAAGCGGGTGGTAATTGTGTCCTCAGACTTAGCCACGCTTTTGTTGCAAATAATGGTTATTTTGAAAGCAATGTTGCATTATTATTATTTTTTTTTAAATTAACAATATCATCTGATGACAAACTGTGTTACTAATTTTGAAACTTTTAATAATAAAAAAATTTAATGTTTCCTGAGCAGCGCGCATCAAACTCTTTATTTCTATTTCTTTCCGTTTTTCTTTGCAAGAATTCTCAGTCACTAAAATTTCTTTATTGTTCAAGCCGTATGTCCACTTTCAACCACCACAGCAAAGAACCATGATTGAACTTATAGCATTGAATAATACTTTTTAAGTTGATAATATTATTTAATTAAGTCGATTTAGCCTTGAAGATACAGAGATGTATAAGATTCAAAATAATATTTTTAGAAATAATTCAGTACATTAGCTTTTTTCTCTCTGTAGCATTTTTTTTCTCGTTAATATATACTATATATATATATATTATTATTAATGATAATAAAATTTAGTTACAATGAATAAAAATTCATTCATTTATACCGAACAGTATGAGAACAAGATCTAAACTTAATATCACTGGAGGTTAATGAATTTTTTAAATCGTTAGTGTATTTTCGGAGACCAAATATTATAAAATATTACTTACGACGCGTAAGCAGGGTAAAGTATCAAAAAGACATCGAATAAAAATACAGCTCCAAATGATAGAAAAAGGAAAACTAAAACTGCCACTGTGATAGCTGTAATGAAAAGTAAACATTATTGATATTTAGATATATATATATATATTCAAGGGTTAAATCCACTTAAAGTATTCGCTTTTGATAACACATAATTTGTTAAGTTTGAAGTGGCAAAACGGTTGAAAGATCGTGTTCAAAGCTTTTGTAATTTTCAACCAATCAAAGTAATTATTGGTCAAAACCAGCGGAAGAAATAAACAGCTTCTTTTTCTTCATTTTTTTAATGCTACTAAAAATCTTAAAACAGTTTGTTAAACAAGCTTAAGGAATCTTTTGAAAATTGCCGACAGGGATAATCTCATTTATGAAAGTGACAGTCACCTTACATCAGTTCCCATTCTTCTAACTTATTTGTAAACAATCACGAAACATTTACATAACTAAGAGGCCTCCCCAACTTTTGTCCGTTCCTCTTGCCAACCCCGTGGTGGCTTAGTCATCTTTGTTTCACTCCCTCTAAAATTCGATATTTTAAAAGAATCAGCCTGCTTACAAATATGTGATTATTAATAGCCTATTTAAGAGCATTTTGTTAAGATGTTAATCGTATCAAAATGAACGATTACTTGGACTTGAAAAAAAATCAACTGTACTTAAAAAAAAAACTTAAAAATTATGAACATGGAATGTGTGAAACAATAACAAATAATAAAAATGAGAGGTAATTTTGCTTGTTAACAGTCTATAACGATAACCTAATATTGAATAACAGTTCAAATTGCAAACTGTTTTTTATCTCTTTTGAGACATTTATATTTCTCAAAATTTTCTAAATAAATGCTATGATATTTATATCTTGTGCCTAATCTTAATATTAAAGGTCGTTTAACGGATAATTTAATTCAATTAAGGCTTATTGTACAAGAGATTTAAAATTGCATGGCACTTAAAACTAAACATTTCAAGCTATTTCACTTACCTGATGAAGCATTTCACAAAGCAAATCGTTACAAATTACTGATTTTTTACCTGATATTGCATAGGATCCTTTTATACCAGTAGCATTTTCAAATTTCTCCATTATTTTGTGCACAGTAGGGTTTTCTGCAACTTTCTCTGAAAATGTGGAAATAGCTTGCCTAAATCGATTAACTACTGACTCGGCCATGATTAATAATTGAAAATTTTAATTTTTCAGTTGTGTTTATTATAATTTTATTTATTATCTGTAGGAGATTTTACTGAGCTGTTCTTCCCTTTCTATTAAGTAAAACATCACTGATTCTGGTAAGTTTAAAAATCAAGCATGCTGATGCTCATTTAAAAAATAAAATAAAATTTAGAAAATTTTTGTAAGGTTCACATAATAATAATCAAATAACAGAGGGCACTTACTTTAACACCGGTTTTTTTTTTATTGTAGCTATTTCATTGATGTTGTATATTAGGTGGTGTTTCTGAAACACGCTATAATATTTAAAAAAAAAATTTTTTAATCCCAAAAATTTTTTTGTTAGAAAACTATATTCGGCTTCAAAAACATTCAAATCAGAAATAAGTCGACTTTTTTCAAGCGCTCAAAAACAGGTGCCCATTTTTAAGACTTGCCCAAAAAGTCTCTCGTTTTTCGAAGGCAGGAGAATCTTCGAGGTCTGTTCCAAATATCAAACTGAGCAGGCTTCTATCGAACAAACCCTGGACTGTTTGGGACTTTCCAGAAAGAACATATACTTATCGCCTCTTCTGGTTCTCGATTTCCTTTGGGTCAACGGTCTGATGGACCTTGTCTGACTTCGTCAGGCATTGGAGGATAAGCCACAACAACAAGACTTGCCCGACGTGAAAGAGAAGAAACAAAAGTGATTTGAAAAATAAAACGAATTAGAAATACATCTATAAGAATAACATACATAATAATTGAATGAGAAAATAGTCATCAGTTATTTCCGATTTATATGTTTTTGAAGCGAATGAAGTTTTTAAACAAGTAATACGTTTTCAAATTGTAATAAATTTTAGTTTCAAATACGCAGCAACAGCTTATCAATATTTTCGTAAATTTTTTGTACATCAAAGACCATCACGTTCAAGCAAAGAGTCGTATAATTTCATTACTTATTTTTTCCATTGTAAAGTTTATTTTCCTTCAAAACAATGCCTAAAATTTTTTCCTAGGACGATTTTTCACAAAATGATTTGAAAAACCCCAAGTCGAGAAAGGAAAAATAAAATTTAAAATTATGACATCCAATATAAAAACATGAATTGCACTTAATACTATTTTATCTATTCGATGAAATTCTAATATGTGACAAATAACATAGAAACCTTCTAAATAAATTTTTTATAGGTCAACTTATGAAGAAAGAACTTTTAGAATAGAATTTGACTTCTTTAAGATGCTTGACTTATATTAAGAGAACACAAAATAAGCAGGTGTTAGGTTACAAAGGTTTTGCTTTCGTTTAGTATATGGGATAAATTCGTTTCTTAGTAATCGAGGTCAACTTAAGAAGTTTCACTCTTACTTTAATAGGAACGACAAAAAAAAAAAAAAAAAAAAAAAAAAAAAAAAAAAAAAAAAAAAAAAANAAAAAAAAAAAAAAGAAATCGTGGTTTACGCGATTTTTAAAATTTAGGAAAAATTATTCATTTTACTTTCCAAAAGCAACCATCTCTTCCGTCTTTACCAGTGAAGTCAGGAGATGTAGGATATTCACTTATTTTGTTTATCTTCAATATCATAAAGAGAAATGCAAGTTTCTCGTCCTTTCAAATAGATTATGATGTTTTGTTTAGTAAGTTAATTTTAAGAACCAGTTTTCTTTTATAAACAGGACAGGTTTCAATACTTTAAATTTTTTAATTTTCCTGAGACTTCCAGTGTATGTTCTTTCTGTAAAACTATTAGACGCGTTTCTTCGATCTCAGCAAAAACAATTTTTCTCGTAGTTAAGGGAGGGATTTGAAAAAAAAAAATATATGGATTTACAAGATATATATATATATATAGAATTAAATACTTTTGTTTCGAAACTAGTGAAACACGACACAGACCGCTACTTTATGTTCTACTACGTTGACACTAACTTTTACGACAAATACTTGCAAAAGATCCTAGATCCTTCAAAAATTTTCGAAAAAAAAAAGGCTCTTTTTCTTTTAATACTCAATATCTTTCAAACGATCTGCAGCTTTGATCCCCCCTCCCTAAATTAGAGAAAAAATAATTATTTTTCGCAAAATTACAAAAAACGTTTCGATTAGTTGAACCCATCCTGAAAATTTTAAGAAAATCAAAAATGTCAAGCATCTAACCTTGCCAGACTTGTGAAAAAACTGGCACGAGCTAGTTTCTAAGAAAATATGAAATTGTTTCTTTTCATTCTATTTGAAATACTAGTAATTAAATATATTCCTGTTTTATTCTTTTACTTTAGATATTTTTATTTATTGGTATTTAAAAATTTTTTTAGTAATTAATTGTCATTAATTACGTAAATCAGACAAAAAAAAAACCCTTCTCCTAAAATTGGATATATGATACAAATAGTTAGTGACTCAGAACTATTTTAATAGTAGCATAACCAAAAACTCCTTACAGCTTTAACTGCTAATACATACTGATTATGATATTGTTAAGTGGTCACAGCCCCACATTTTTACAGGCTAGGGCTGCAGGTTTGTCGCGGCGCGAATTGTCATCTTTTTTCCTAAAATCCGTGAATTTCTCAATATATCTTGACTTGTGCGAAAATGGCTTAAGTTTGATTTTTTTTTTCATTTTTATTAAACAGAATTTTTTATTTTCCTGAACCTTAAATTGAACATGTAAAATTGATTAGATATTTAGGGGAGTGAATCATGAAATAGTTCAGAGATAATCACAATCTTGTCAACTAAGGTGGTCTTTCTACACTTAGGGAGGGGAATTACCTTCCTCAAGTCAGTATGAGTACAAAAGAAGGAAAATGTTATAAATCAAATCTTTGACAGAAAAACTGTTATACATGCTATTGCACTGGGCAATGAAATTTCGACTGCCTTTCTACATATCCAGTTAATTTTTCCTAGGCGGCTTCTTGTGATTTCTTAAATATGAATCAGTTTCTTAGATGAAGGGGGGACTAGTAGTTAGTAGGGACTTGTAACTAGTTTGAATGTAGAATGTTAGAGCTTTCACAGCAATTACTTCTTACAAAGCAACGGTCAAGGAAAATTGATCGAATTTCGGAAATCAAAGACTGAACGCTCCAAATTTGGCAATTCGAAGTTTGTTGGTGCCTAAAAACAGCGTAGACGCAGAAAGATCGTTTTCTAAGTATAAAAATGTATTAAGTGATGAAAGACGAAGGATAAATGAGAATAATCTGACAATGTACAATACTTGGTACCAAAATTCTGTTCATTTAAATAAAAATATTGCTTGAAATTCAAAGAAATACTTTTGTTGTGTATTTTTAAGCTTTTTATATTATTTGCGCAATTTCTGCCTTTTGCATCATTTATATAATAAATTTTTTTATGCTTAGAATTTGTGTAATTTTCAAAATTTCCCGCGATTTTCGGGTCTATTTTCCCGCGACAAACTTGCAGCCCTACTTATGTCCTTATCTCTTTTGTATTGCATAATTTTTAATGTCAAAGATTTGTTTGAAATATCTGCTCATTTTGCATCTCCGTCAAATTGATTTTTATTAGCTCTGCAATGCTAAGTCTTCCAAAAACAAAAGCCTCATTTATGTCTGGTTGGTGGATTAGCAGTTGAAAGCAAGATGATTCAAAGATTTGTTGCAGCGACATTCAGAGCAGAAAAAAAAAATTATCAGTCACCTATTAGTTTTCATAGCAGTAGAATGATTTTCTAGTTTAATTTCATACCTTTTAAAAGTTTATAGCAGAAATATTTCTCCTCTTCAAAAAAATTATAATTCGTTAACTATTAGTTTTCATAGCAGTAGAATAATTTTCTAAAAGTCTACTCTTTCAAAGCTAGTAAGCCGAAATATCTCTCCTTTTTACATTCCATAGAGGTGGAGAATAAGATTTACTTGAACAGGGGCGTGGAATGTATCAGACCAAAGTAGTAACAAAGTGCTGATAAACCCTTTTTCAAATGAAACCATGAAGGTCAAGCATTAAAGTCAAATACTAAATATAGGAGCCGCGATGGCTTAGGGGATAGAGCGTTCGCCTTCCAGTGAGGTGAACCGGGGCTTGCACCGACCACAGTGCTGCCGTAAAATATCCGCAGTGGTAGACGGATCACGAGTTAGAGTCCCCTTGCCGCCAGGCTAAAGGAGGGAGGTTCTCGTGATCTACCTCTCCATGTAACACAAATGCGGGTGAGTTCCACCAAAAAGTCTTTCACAAAGGCAAAATTTCTCCCAATACTTAATCCAAGAGTTTCTTTGTCTACTGGATTGAGTTCAAAATTACAAGGCTACGGAGTTGAACATTAGTCGTAAACCCAAAAAATAGGGTAGGCTGTTCAGTGACGGTTATAAAATACTAAATATTGAGTGAAATTTCAATTTGACAAATCAGAAACAATCTATTTCTGTACTGCTGGGAAGTAACATAGATTACTAAATGCATCTTCTATCAGATAACAACAATTTGCAAATTACGGGTCCTATAACTTTTGTTAATAAAATCAAACATTAAGTCTTCTTAATTTATCCTCATATCTCTATAACTATTGGGAGTAAAAATTAGTTCGGTCCGTTTTTTCGTAGTAAAAAATGCATTTATTTCAGAACAAAATGAATGAACGGTTAAGAAAAGTATTATCCATCGCTGGCTACTACTTTTTCCTACCTCTCAGGCAATTTTCGAATTCCATTTCGAAAAAATGTCTCGTCGTTTGAGGCGATCCATGTTGGGAGCCAACTTTCGATTTCTGAGCAAGTGAACCGGTGACCTGCCAAATCGTGCTGCATCTGTGGGAACAACCAGTAATCAGAAGGAGCAATGTTCGGCGAATCAATAATTTTTACGACTTTCGCGACAAGAGGCCGACCGCTATCATGCAGAAGAATAACTTTGTCATGTTTTTCTCGTAATGCAAGGCTCAAACGAATCAATTGTAGCCTATACCGATCGCTTTTAATGGAACCGTCAGGTTGTAGCAGCTCATATTATACAACACCATTCTTGAAAAGTCGAAACCATTCCCTATATGATTTATCAGCTGGAGCATTGTCACCATAAGCTTCTACAAGCATTCGATGCGCTTGAGCTGCACTTTTCTTCCAAATAAAGCAGAAACATAAAACCTTCCGCAAATGCTTGGTTACCGCAAAATTTGACATATTTAATAAAGCAAAAAACAGGGTTTTTGTATGAAACTCAAAGCGATATAAACTGAATATTATTGACAGGTGTCTAACCTCCCTGAAACAATCGTAACAAATGTTACTATGAGACATTCATAACAGCCAGAGCCATTTATGAAACTGCAAGATAAATTTATGCAAAAAATAATATTGATAATAGACTTTTTGCATATAGGCACACATTTTTTTTCTTCATTCCATGAAATTTTTAAAAAGCATACTTCAGTGTATTATTGTGATTTGATTAGTTCTCAAGAGAAAGATTTCGAATTACTTAATTCTCTAACTACACAACTGCCTTTTTTTACATTATGGATTATCCCAATAAGAAATTATAACTGTTTGCTTTGTACTGACAATCAAAAATTACAAATTCTTTTATCACTGGCTTGAAAAAATTAGAAATATTTGTGAGGATAGAAAAAATTTCTCCCGTTTTCATTCACTAATGTAAAATATGTAATAGTCTGGTAATAAAATATTAATATTTGTTGCTGGATAGAGCCTCAGATATTTTTCTATTTAAATTTCGTACATTTCAAATATATAAACATAGATAAAAAATACATGTACAGTGGATTCTCAATCATTTAACAATTTCTAGACTGGCATGTCAACACATTTGAAGAGAATAATAATGATCCTCTTCAAAAAAAATAGTTTTTTAAGTTAACATTTTAAAAACTGTAAAAATACATCTTTTTGTACTTTTAAGTCTCCTTTGTACATTTAATGAATCATTAAAAAAAAGACAAGGGAGTAAAATGGTAATTCCATAAGTTTTATTTTATAAAAAACAACAACACAAAACAAAACTATAATTTTATTACAGCAATACTTCATTGGCTCTAAATATTCCTAACATTTTTCACAACTTAAAAAAAAAAAAAGAATATTTAAAGTCAAAGCGGATTATACTACAAGGGATCTGTCGATAATGTTTAATTACCGCTCTAATTAAAAAGTATAAAATGCAAATTGATGAAAGTATTTATAATGCAATGCCTTAAAATGTACAATTTATTTGTTTCAGTGCGATGAATAGTAATTTGCAGCATACGGCCAAGCTCCTTGGTAATTATAAGAACTCTGCAAAAAATAAATGAAATAGTCAGCACACAATATCATAAAATCGGTAATAAATGTATTGACAATTACTTTTACTCTTACGTGCTAACTGTAGCAAATAAGCGACAGTAAAAAACTTTATCAATCAGGGTAAAAATATAAAAATGGTAACCAAACTATTTATTTAGCAGTTAATTCACCACTACTTAGTTCACAATGAAAATTATATAGTTACACTTTGAACTAACACTGAGTAGATATGTGACTAACATTGATTAAAGTTAAAGCCAAATATGCTCATCAAATTTGTCATGCCCACATTTAAGCTACTGCTTTTTATTATTTTTTCCCCATCCTGATTCTGATTGAATAGTTTTATGAATTTCCCGCAAACCTTTCAGGGGTTAAGCTGCACTAGAGACTTTATTATGAGCATTAATTTGAAGCAATGGTGAATTGTAGGTGATTAAAAAAAAAAGCTCTTTTATCAGCCGAATAATACAACTGTTTTGTTGATCCTGCCCACAGTATTTGATAGATTTTCATAGCATTTTATTTTCTTGCTTGTTTAAATAATTCGAAACTATATATTTAGACCTTTTTGACAAGGATCTTAAAAATTTCTATTAAGTAAATTTATATTATTTATATACAGAAAAGTGTTTATAAATCAGGTAACAGATGAAATATAATTTGCTAATAATACAAGTAGTATTTATAAATCTGCTCATAATTAAATGCATACAGTATTTTGAAATAAATAATCTGAAAGCAATAGACAAATTTCAACTAAAATTACTACAACTATATAAAATAGTTTGAGCGTAAATACTTTTTACAAAATTTTAATTGAAGACTTCAACAAAAAATATTTAATTTCAAACTATTCTATACAGTAAACAAACTATTAAATACTCTCTGCTAACTTCTACTTTACTTCTGAAGAAAGTATTTAATTTCAAACTATTTTACATTATGGAATAAAATTTGCAAGCATTTAATTATTTGCAGATTTAAAAACACTGCTCGTATTATTAGCAAATTATAATTTACTTATTACATAACAACTAATTCTTAAAGCTATATACTTTTCAGTAAATAAAATAGGTGTCTCAAGGTTGCTCGATTTCCCGAAATTTCTATATTTCATTACAACGGTTACAGCAAATCTCCCGCTATGAGTGCATTCGAACTTCTCTCTGAAACGTATTGGCATAGGTCAAAGGAATATTTGTTGTAACCATTGTAACTAAGAGAGGAAAAGTAGAGAGATCATGCAACATTGAGACACTTACTCTATCTAAATAGAGTATAATTAAAAAAATACATTGTCAAATTATAAATGAAATATTGTACACATAGAATGAACACACATAATTGCACCATTTATTACCTGAGCAGCATAGCTTGCCCAAGCAGCTGATTGCTGCTGATACTGATAAGATGCAGCATCATGTGTAGCTGGAATAGCGGCAGCAGCTGCTGTAGCAGCCGTAGAAGTAGAATTAGCAGTATCTGTCGTAGCTGATCCATTAATTTCGGTTTTTAGTTTCTTTTCTTTACTTTCTTCACTGAAATTGAAAGACAAAATAAATACTATGATTGTAATATTCAATAATTAATAAATCAGGCAGTAATGACCAAATGTACCAGAGTGAGTTTTTAAAGATTTACATAATCGATTTTCTGCATTACAATCAAAAGTTATTACACAATTGCGAGCATAATTAAAAATAAACAATGGTTACAAGTAATTTTGATCAATATTTGTAAGTAATCATGATAACAAAATAATTCCTAATAATCAAATCAATAATATATTGCCAAACTCAGTTTCGTAGTGTTAAGTTTACTGAGCAGGAAAATCATTAAAATAGTTAAATTGTTTTTATAAACTTAGTTTAAAAAAAATTTTTTTTTGAAAAAAGAGGGAGGGGATCAACTTTCTACTAAAATCTGTTATAAACAGACATTTTGTAGTATAATTTCAATAACAGTCTTTTCTTTAGCTGAAATTCTTTGAAATAAATGTGAAATCATTGCTAATTATGCTTGATCTAAATGAAAATAGCATAACTATCTTAACATTTTTAAGAGGTTCCATATAGTACACAATTTTAAATTTCAGAAAACCAATTTTTTTTAAAAAATCCAATTGTACAACCCATCAAGAATATTTTATTAAAGTTTTTATTCAATTTGAATAGAACTCTTTAGCAAACTCCTCCATTAGGTATGACCGGCTAAAAGCAAATACATTTTATTTATACACACCAGAGTTCTCCCTAGGAATACTTCCTCACAGAAAAGGGCACCAACTACCGTTAAAATCTATCAAAATCTGTAATATTATGTAATAACTGAACTTGATCCTCTTTCTTTAAAATCTGCTAAAATGAAATCCCCCCCCCCTAGCTATCAAGGGTCAGGAAGTTTTGATGTTTGCAACGATTTTTTCAAAATTTGATAATTGTATATGAAAAAAGCAACACAAAAGTTTTACTTTTTTAATAAATAGCAATTTTATGCATTATCAATATTATGTATAGATATAATTAGAATTAAATAGTAAAAAATACTTTAAAATTGCACTAATTTTAATTTTGTTAACATTATAAGTATTGTTGTATGTCTGTTTACTGATAGCAAGTTTTAAAAGTTGGTACCTCTAAAAACACTAGAACAGGGTTCCTACACTATTTTGAGAAAATAATATCCTGACTTTTGCAGGTTTTTCCTGACCTTTTACATTCTTGACCCGACAAAAAAAAAAAAAAAAAAAAAAAAAAAAAAAAAAAAAAAAAAAANGTTTCCCACTCCAACAAAACTTTTAACATTGCAGTTTCAATTAGTAATAATATGCCACTTATCCATAAGTATCATAGATTGAATAGGATAAACACTTATATATTAAAGTGGAATTGCATAATAGCACTTTATATCCCAAATTACATTTTCAGAAAACTTGTGAAACATATTTTTAATTATCATGATTAGATTAAACTTTTAGTGTGTTTTTGTAGTTAGATACAAAAACTATTTAAATAAAAAGATGAAGAAAATCTGTTGGATTATGGAAATATTATTTTATTTAATGTTAAGTGGAACCAAATGCATGAGTATCGTCAGGATATAAATGGTTAATCAAATCTGCGAGATATGTATCAGTATTCTCAAATAATATTTACTCTTAAAACATACTAGAACATTTGTTACATTAAGTTATTAATTTTTAAAAATCACCAATACACTTCAAACTGACTTTTCTCTTAAAAGATAATATTGAAATATAAAGGGGAAAAAAGTCAAGAAAAGTTAATTATATACAAATAAAATCAAAAAATTTTTTTTTTCTTCTCCAGTATACTTACATTTTTTTCTGTAATACTGTAAGCTTCCGGAGAAACTCAGAGGCTCCTATGTTATATAATATTTCTCAACATATTTTGTTGTTTGATAATTTCTGAATCAGGAGCATCCAGTTCTGTTGCAGCAGTTTTCCTCAATTTAGATTTTCTTAATTTCAAATCATCTATCCTTTGTTTTATTCGTTTTCTAGAAATTTCAGCCTTTTTATTCTTACGTTTTTTTTTTTTTTTTTTTTTTTTTGGCTTCTAATGCATGTCTCCATCTTGTTCTAGATCCTTTTACAGCATCTAGCATTTTTTCATTAATGTCTATTATTCCATTTATAAATGAAACATAATCATACACACGCCTTTGTGAAATAATAGAGTCTTCATTGAGGTTTTCAACCAATAAGCTTTTATTGATTTAAAACCCCCCTTCGACTGTTGCGTTACCATGAGAGAGGATAAGAACAATTTTTATAACCTCCCACAAATTTTCAAATTTTTTTCTCCGTGCAAATATTTCGAAAAAAATTATCTAATCTCTTTTGCTGTGGATTAAACTCTAAGAAACTCTTTTGCTCTTCTTTTTTCTTGGCAGCATCACAAAACAGTAAAAATTCCTTTTCTGATTTTTCTGCTGTTGTTTCAGCTACTATTGTCTGTAAACCAGTTATTCACACAAAGAGCAATAAATCTAGCAACCCTATCAAAAATTCCTTATCATTGGATAAACAGGAGAAAAATTGCTAACAGGATAGGTTCTACCAGGGAAAGAGGAATGTTATTATGAGGAAATTACATATTACATTTTGAATTACAGAATTTTTCCTTGAAACTTTATTTTTGCCTGTCAGTCTTTGAATGAACTATAGTTTTTCTTCATTTTCCTGACTTTATGAATATGTAAGAAAAATCCTGACATTTTAGCTTAATTTTAGAATAGCCTGACTTTTGCAGGTTTTCCTGACCATGTAGGAACCCTGTAGAATTCAAATTAATTAAAAGAAAAGAGAGATTTTTATTATGTAGTATGATTAGTTACCTGTCTTCTGCTACTCGTTTCTTAGAGGTGTAATGGACTTTATACAATTTAGCATATTCTTCAAAGGCATCTTGAATACTGCAAATATTTTACATATTAAAAAATTTAAACATTTAAATGAACAAAATTAGAACTAATGCTTTAATACCATACCAATGATATTGTAGAGTCGAGGTTATTTAATAATAACAAGAAATTATCAAATTAATTTCCTTTTAGATCAGGGCAGTAGCTCCAGTTTGATGTCACATGTAGCAAGGACATCCGCAGATTGAAAGAGATTTAACCTTAACAATACAAAACAAATGAAATAAAACAAAAATATGACCACCGAAGCCGACGTCTTCAGGGGGTACCGGCCCCGGTAGCCATTCAAAACAAAACCATTTCTATTTGAGGGAGAAGCAAAAGCTTAAAATATCTCCCTCAGTACCCCGATGGTTTTGTATAGAGGTCCAGGAAAAACAAGATACACTCAAAAGAATAAACAAATTACGAAAAGAAAATCAATAAAAATCATCAGAAAATTAAAAACTCACAGTCACAGGTCAAGAATAAACTTCAAAAGCAAGTGGAGGAAAAAAACACTAAAAACTGAAAAACAACGCCCCCTATAATAATGCGCAGTAGAAGTTTAAAAATGAAATGATAAAGAAATGAAAAAGGTCAGGAGAAGGAGATACGTAGATAAATTAATAGAATGCTTAACAACAATTATATACATTTCTTTTCACATCTTGCATGCGTTAGTGAAATATTTAAAAGTTCTTAATACCATTTTCCCTCGTGATATTGTTAAAAAGTCATGAGTTAATTATTTAAAAAAAAAGTTAAGTAAGGTTAAAAAAAAAGTTAAGTAAGGTGAGTTAAGTAAGGTTACATTACAACTTATTATTTCTTATACTATTACAATATTCCACTCCTTCTGAAAAAAGCTAAGCGAAAACATGCACTTATTGATCAGGACTCTTCGAGTCCCTTGAGAACTCGAAAAAATAAATCAAATTAGCATTAAGATCACTATAAGATATTAATCAGAATGTACAATTACAAGCAAATAAAATAAACATTCATATTAATTCTTTAATTACAACAACTAAAAAAATTTCATAATGATTAAAATATTAAAATACATTTTACTTAATTTTTTTAATTTTTTTTTCCTTATCTTTAATAGCTCGTGAAAAGTTTTCTTTAAAATGTTCAAATATTTGATCATTTAAACAGAATTCCATTTCTTGAAATTTATGAAAGACTATTCTTCAAACATGTATAACACCACTTTATACTTAGATATGTGTGTATATATATATGCTCCATATCCAGAATTGTAGGGACATCGTCGAACGGAAAAGATTTTTCCGGATAATAGGTCTTTAAGGCAAACATCAAAACAGTCTTTTTCAATAATAAATTAGAAATAGACGCCAATCAACATAAATTTTAATCAGGAAGGAATAAATCCAAATGGTTTGTGGTGTTGCAATAGTTTTGCAGCTTTTGTTGCAGATTTCCATGTGGTTTTAAAAAAATCTCGATACTTTAATATGCTATTATAATATATCGCGAATTCAGAATCAAGCATTTCGGTTAGTTTCCCAACCCACTCGATTAGCGATGATTTGATTGTGAAACCACGTGGCTGTGCTGATCTTTTTTTCGGTAGTCATTAAAACGGTATTTCACTTGGTGTGAAAAATCTCAATGTTTTAATACATTATTCCTTGCGTCAAACTTGGAATCGTGTGTTTCGCACTCAATTATTGACGATTCACCAGCTATCCCACGTGACGATCAATCACATTTTTGTCAATTACTGCTACTGATTTTCATAGTTTCTTTAAATTCTACATTATCATTCACAAGAGATGTGAACCTTTTGCACACTCTGAAATTAAATGAGTGATTCTTGGAGGTAATGATCCTTTTGTGCGAGAAAAAAGATATGCGATTTTTTTCATATATATATATATTCATACGTATACGATTATTTCATATAAAAATAAAGAAGTTGTTCCATTTAATAACCAAGTAAAATTATTATTTTATGACACTCAAGTGGAATTGCTTATTTATAGCATTGGTTTGAATAGCAAGATGATAGAGACTAAAATCTTTTTAAGATATCCTTTGATTTAAAAAAAAAAAAGAAGAAATAAAATTAAATAAAAAAATGATTCAAACTGAATTAAAATTTATAACCCATTAAAATCTCAATTTAGGCTTACTTCGATAAATGTTAAAATCCAGTTTTTGAAAAATTAACAATTGGCACTGAACTAAAAAAAATAATTTAATTTATAGAATAATATTTTTGTCAGTTTAAAGGCAGAACTTCTTTAAGTCATATAAGTTTTTCTCGTAAGTTAAAGACTAAGATAAAAAGTAATATAAATAGATCATAAGACAGTACCTTTGAGGATCCATTGTGAAATCTTCCAAAAACTCAAGTTTCCTTCTTGCAAATGTCAATTTCTGGTCTTCATTCATATCACTGGTTAATGCTAAATCAAATGCCTCAAGAATAGCCGATTGACTTATAGGAGTTTGTTGAAATCCCACATCTACTAGTTGCATCAATATATATGGATTACTCTAGAATTAAAATAATTATTAGTTTCTTATACAGCAGTGAAGATCCTGAGAATATTGCAAACTTTCGAATAACAAATGAGTGAGCGCTCTTAATTTTAGAATACAGTTGAAAAAAATATAAAGTCATTATTGTCAACCTAAAATCAAAGAACAGTTAAAGCTGCAATAAGAAGAGAAACTGCAATGAAATAAATGAATGCTATATGCAGCATAAATAAATGAACCCGAAATTGTAGGATACTTATAGCAATATTTTTAATGACAAGAGTAAAAATGATACACAATTGATCCCGTTTATAAGTTGACTCTCCTAACCCTAAGAATTTCTCAAAAGTCACAAGATTGACTCCTACACCAGTAATGAAGTCAGACAGTCATTGGTCATGAAACATCAATGCATTATAAAAAATGAGATAAATAGAAATAACTCAGTATTAATTAATCTTTTTTGAAAACTACTTTCTATACGTTATATACAATTGATTTTTCATTTTTAAAAACGATACTTTAAATTACATTCAGAAAAAAATTAAGATTGAGAAAAGTTAAGATAATTTATTGAAAAGTTTAAAAAAAAGAAAAGAAAAAAGAATTAAACTTACTGGATCATTTTTAAGGGCATCTTTTAAAACCTTTGTAGCTTTTACAAAATCCTGCTTAACCTAAAAAATAATAGTAAAATCAACTTATAGCTGCGTTATCAGACATTTATTTAGAAATTTAAGAACAAAAAACTGTGATCTTACCTTATACAGATATCTTGCAAACTTTGTAGCGAAATGGGAAGACATCTGAGAGGTTTTGGCTTCAGCAATGCATTTTAAATACATTTCTTCTACCTTTGCTTCATTACCCCGTCGTCTTTCAAGATTAATTTTTCTAAGAGTTATTTCTAACATATCTTTGATATTATTCCCTAAATCTTCAAGAATCTGGGCAGCTTTGTCAACATTATCTGAGAAAAGAAAACAAAAATTATATAAGATAAAACAAATTTGTGAGATTTTGAAAATTTCGCATTAAAATTTTTTAAAATTATATGAGGTTTGGAGAAAAAACTGCAGACAATTTTCTGTTTACAATGTTATGTTTTTCTGTTTTCATACAATACATTAAAACAAGTAGTCATAATTTAGGATAGCATATCTTTACTCATTATCCATGATAATAAATAAGTAAAATAGAAGAAAAAAATTGTAACAAACAAACCCCTTCTTTCTTGAAATGAGGCCCAAGAAAAATGAATCATATATTTTCGAGGTAGATGAATTTTACAAGCTCTTTCATAAACTCCATCAGCACTTTCAGGATAATTATCTTCCATATACTTAGCATACTAAAAATAAGAAAAATAACGTTTGTTACATCACGAAACATTAAAATTTGCTAATGAAATGCAAAAAAGTTTTTTTTTGGAACTATTCCAGTGCTGAAAAATCAATGTTTAATAAACAAAATGCAAATGAAAGTTTCATAAAATAAAATGGTTTGGTCATAAAAACTAACTTTGGTCAATAAAACTAACATTCCAACAAATTATAAGTAAACCCGCGATGTGTAATAGAGAAGCCTCATGACCATTTCATTTACAATGAAAATATTAATCTGCATCTTCTCAAAATGGAGATAGGTACACCTGTCCTATTACATAATGAATTCTGCTTGTTTTTAAGAGTTGAAGAAAATTTCAACCTCTATCCAGCTGTGCAAAGCAGCTCTCTCTTTGATGCTGAACAAGATGAGTAAAATATTTAAGTTTTGGCGTTAAGAACAGTAAAAATTTAAGTTTGCCACGTTACAAAGCGGGGGAAAAAAAGTTGTGGAAAAATCTAACATTTTAACAAAATTTTCTAAAAATTAAACCATAATATAGATATAAATTTTTAACCATAATTTTTTTTTAATATTTGACATTGAATACAAATTAAGTGCAATCTGTAATAAAACTTTATAGTTTAAAATTTGTACACCTCTTTATTAACAGAATGGACAGAAACTATCAAACTTTATTTATCAAAAAAACATGTTCAATGTTTTTCAACTTATCACAAAACAAAACTTAAAATAGTCATTTGAGGAAAACACTCATTTGAGTTTAAAATAACAATTACTTTTACAATTTAGTAAAAAAAAAAAAAAAAANAAAAAAAAAAAAAAAAAAAAAAAAAAAAAAAAAAAAAAAAAAAATGCTTCATAAAAATTATCTTCTTGTTTACAACTTAAAAAGTTTAAACAAAAATAAGCACCATTTAAGTACTTTTTAAGCACTCAAAAAATATTTTTATACACTCTATACATAAACAAAATGCAAAATAATTGTCAGACTTTACATGATCATGATATAATAACTAGTTTCTGACAAAGAACTCTTTTTTTGTTTTATTATTATATTAGCTATTATAAAATAAGAAAGAGATTTTTCGGTTCAATATCAGAGGGTGGAAAATGAAGCCTGAAATTGAGAATATCTTGCAAAATGCAGTAGAGTTGCACATGAAAAAGCAAGAATCTCAATGAACCTAGCTCAGTAGACGCACATGCTGACTCGCAAGTATTTCATCAAACACGTAAAACGATTAGCGCTTCCATACAATACTGACTGACGGTACGCTGAAATGGATTGTGGTAGAATGAATTATGTGAAAAGCACGCTTTTGCATAACAGATGACGAAAATAGACAAGGTAAAGAAAACACGATTCTTTTCGAAAATGGAAAATTAAGCACTTTTTAAAAACAACCAATGAAAAAAGCACCTTTAAGGGCTTCTAAAAAAAGGAAATCGAAAATAAGCACTTTTTAAAAATGCTATGCACTGTGTTATTAAACATTGATTACAATAGTCATGAATCACTCAAAATATAACTGTGGCAGTTTTAAGCACATTAAATTAAAAATAAGAATATACAAATTATAGAATTTTTCTATTTTTATTTTTTAATTTAATAGTATTTATAAAAAAAATCATGAAAACAATGCCAAAACACTGATACAAGCATAAAAGGGATTTCTCATTTGGCATCACTTGAAACACAAATTGTTCTGAAGGGACTTAACAGTTCTGTGACACACATTGTTGTTTTGAGTGCTTCATGCTTTAGGGAATCAAGGAACTTCTTAAAATTATTACATTTTAACAAATCCCAAGAGACATTATAACAAGTTACTATCATCTCTGATTTGAAATCTTTAATTTTCAATCAAAATCCATTAAAAAATGAGACTTAATTTAATATTTAACTTTCTGGTAGGCAACATTTAAATCTTGACGGTATTAAAAAATTGCACATGTTTCTATTAATTCCTAAATGAAAAAATTAAAATCACTTTTTACATGTGATTTCTCACTAAATTACTATACAAGAAAAGAAAAAAGCAATGAAAAAACATGCATACTTTTAACCACATATCCTCATAGAGAGCACACGCAATCATGCATCTTTCAAAGAGAATAACTATACTCTCGTGTGTTCCATTTTCGATTTCATAATCGAGATAATCTTTCCAATTTTTTAATTGAGCTCTTTCTAATGGTTTCACATGGAAGTAGGGTCTCTTGATCTGCAAATAAACAAAATCACATCCAATCAATACAAAACCATCTTCATGAAAATTGATGCAGTTAACCCTAAGACTCTACAGTAATTTGCATACCTGAACTAAGTCTGTCATGATAAAGAAATCAGGCCTTCAAAAATCACATTCTCACCAAAGAAACTGCATGTAAATGGTCATATACAGAAAATTTGTTATATTAAAAAAAATCTGCTAATCATCGCGGCATTGATTCGTTGTTTAGACTTCTTATTTTTGCCAACACTGGTTTAAAAATTAAAGTTAAACAAAGAAACACACTTACCGCTTCTTCAAAAGACCAGCGTTTTCCCACTTCTATTTCATTCTTTTTATACAAGGTTTTTCTTCTTTCAATAATCTTCTTTTTCATTAAATCTGTTTCCTCAGTACTCATCTGAAAAATATCATAAGACAGAGATCAGATAATGATTTGAGATAATCATTTTTTTTAATAAAATGCTTTTGATATGCAGAAAATGCAAACAAGAAAAACATTCAACTGATAAAAATAAACATCTTGAATAAGTTTCAATCTAAATGTTCTACTTTCATGGTTTGTAAAACATGCTTATATAATGCAGTTATTAATAATAAAGATACTGTTAAAATGAAGATAGAGTTTACTTTGTGCTCTATGAGAGTAAGTCAAATAATGTGAATGAAACACAAAATAAACACCTTTGTTTGTGTCATTTTTTGTGCTTCATTCAAGTTGTTTAGCTTTAGATATTCTAGATATTATTGATAATAATTAATGAATAATTGTTTAAAATTTAATGACAAAAAACCTGAAAGTGATAATGTGTTAAGCTCAAGCATTATTTTGTATGAATTCAAAGTAAGAAAATTTAAATAGAAATATACCTATTTTTAGTTTAGTTAAATATACCTAAATTTAGTTTGAAACATAAAGGGAAAAAAAGAAAGAAAAACCATTATGATAACCCAAGACTATAACTCAACTTTTATCTGTACCACATAGTGAATTAAATAAGAATTGTAATTCACTACAAGCTATTACGAGACTAAAGTCCTTATACTAAAATGGCCCTTAATTTTTTAAAAATAGTTAAGTAACAATCTCTAACACGTTCTTTTCGCTCAGTAAGGAAACTTTGGTATCAAGCAAACAACAAGTAAGCTTTCTCCCAGTATAAACTTTAATTAAAGAATTGGTTTTAACACTAAAAATATAACAGACCACAGCAATGCCAAATATGTGGACCAATAAAGATGCATCTTGCAACTTTTTTGACCTGAGAATACTTTGATTTTGGCCATTTCCCCCCCCTTCACGTAATTGGAAATAAATCATAAAACTAATTTAAGGTGAATTAAAGACAATCTGAATTATATGGTGAAAAATCTTCATTTTTTTTTTAAACAAGTGATGCAATAAACCATAATATTAATACTTGGTTCTTACAATCCAGAACTAATAATAGGTGGCGCATATTACTAGACAACAGAAATTGGTAAAAAATACTGCAATTACCTGAGACAAAATTGTTAATTCTTAATCAGAAAACTATATTCAACTTTCACAGAAAAAAGTTGCTCTCTGAGACTTAATAGAGGATATTTAAATAACATGTACTTGAAGACATTAAAAGGGTAAAAAAAATAAATAATAATAATAATTACCATATCTTTCTCAATATCTGTACCACCAGGTTCCAAACCTGGAGGAGCATCATCTATATCCATTCCTGGAGCTGATTCTACTTCTTTACTGATGCCTTTATCATCATCCTCTGCATCATCTCCAACCATTGAATCATTTTTTAATATGCTTACTACTTCTTTTCTAAGTTCAAGGAATTCATCTGTAGAAAGTATTTCTCTTGGTATATTTTTCTTTACATGTTTACCAAATCTGAAAAGACAAAATAAATTATCAGCATTTTTTTTACAAATATCAGTTTGAAATGCGTTTAATTTCAATTTCAGCACTTAAAAGACAGATTTTCATTGGACATATTGTTTATAATTTCATTTTAATTTATGTTTAATAAGTGTATACATCAAAATAAGTGAAAATATTATATTTAGAGCTTTGATAACTTATGTTTATAAATTGGAATAGATAGGCGTAGACAAGGACAGACATGTCCCTTTGCAAGTATGGAGTGATGGCTCACTTCCAAGCAATAATTTTTCAATTATAATAAATTTTTAAATATGAATGGAAAAAAAAATTTCAAACAATTTTATTTTATATTCAAGGTATCTGCTACATTTTAGATTTTCAAACTCATTGTTTTTTCCTGACTTTCCATGTCTAATTCCAAGAACTTTTTATGACTTAACGAAGTTACTATTTTCTCCCGACAAAAACAGAAACAATACATTTAAAAAGCATTATAACATTAATTGAAATGATAGGTATAACCAAAACTATTTTGGTTATACCTATCATTAATAACCAAAATAGCAATAACCAAAACCGATTTTGATTACAGAAAAAACAGAGAAAGAGTTGAAACAATATAATAGCTGAAAAAAATACAAAAGCAAATATATTTTTTCCTTATTTTTTTCTGCAGAATTATAATCTTAAGATACTTTTCTTGTTCATCGGAAAGGAAAAACATACTCCTAATTTTTCTGTTCTCATTTAGGAATAAAAAATATTTGCCAATGACTGATTTGCTTCAGCTAGGATTTTAAATTGAAAACAATAAATAAATAAATAAATGATAATAAAAAATTCTGAAATCACAGAAGTTAAAAAGACAATTCGCTATAGAAATGATGCTTTTCCCTTTATTTTTTGAAAGAACACCATAATTTTTAAAGAACATGACTGTAAGTGGGAATTTTCTTACAAATTCAGATATTCAGAACACCATGAAATTAGGGGGAGGGGAAAAATTCATTTTGAAAATTCGGTGACTTTTTTCCATGACTTTCCAGGTGTACTAATATCTTATATATTTTAGTGCAATTATAATTCTGATAATGAAGATTTCTTTAGTAATTATTAGATTGTTTCTTATAATTTAAAAATGCTAAAACATATTTTAATTAGGGGCAATATATATATATAACATTTTGTAATTAGGGACAATATATATATATATATATAAGGGGCGTTACCGATCTGGATTTAACTGTTATTTTCGGGTGGTTACTTTCCAGATTAAACCAAATTCCCTACGGTTTAAGTAAGGTTAAGCAAAATTTTAATCATACAAAAAATGATTTTTTATACAAATAAAATATTTATCTACAATGCATTCAAATTTTTTTTTTCTCTCTTCAATTTATAAATAAAAATTGTTTATTAAAACATGATTAAAATTATATCACTCAACAAATTTTAACTTTTTGAGTCAACACTGAACAACTTTTTACAGATAATGATTGATTAATACTTACATTTATTATCACATCCCAGGAAAAAAAAACCTGATAAATAAACTATAAAATTTTGTTGTGCGATCATTATTACAATACTGCCAGTTGATGATAGTCAAAATGTTTAATTGTTTGTGAATTTTGCTGAAAATTTTAGATTTTCTGTTTATTTCAGGCATGAAAGCAGACAAAAATAAAAAAAGCTGAAGTTTTACAACACAGGTCACTGGGAGGAGGGGGTAAGTGCTGTATATGATACTGAGGTTTTTAAAAGCAACTTTTAACTATGCTGGGAGATTTTTATTTAATATTTAAAGTGACAGAAGGATTTAGACAGTTAACTTTAAATTTTTCTTAAATATAATTTTAAAATTTTGACCACTACTATATATTAAAATAAAATTAAACAATTATAGGAAGGTGCGACAATTAAATTACTTACTAATGAAAAATATATCACATCTTTACAGTAACTAATTCAAGAGAAAACTTACTTCTACTTCTTTCAAGAACCGCGATATTGGGTTTTAAAATCGTGCGAATGTGAATCCCGATACTAGATTTCAAAATCATGTGAATTTAAATCGCGATTTCGGATTTTAAAATCACAATTTAATAAAGTTTACTAAAATGGTCATCCACCAAACTCCCCCCTTCCTCAATTGTACATTGTTTTAACAAAACAAAAAAGTATGAAGCACATTTTAATTTATTTTATTTTAGGAAATTTATAAAATTGTACACATTGTAATAAGAATTCTCTGTATTGAATACATGTTTAAGTAGGATTTCATTGATGAAAGACACAGAATATAAACAAATCGTTAACTCTCTTATATAATGCTAAATTAAGATATACAGTACAGAACCCGTTATCCGGAAATCAGAAAACCGGAAAACCAAAAAACCGGAACAAAATTCGATAAATTTTTCCGCCATTTAAAAAAAAAATATTATTTTCCACATAAGATTTTAGGATTTTTCTTTCTATTTTGAAAGATCTTTACCTTACCATCATTTTGGAAATAATCTTTAGTGTACTACTTCATCGTTTTTTCTTCCTTTTAAGATTATTTCCAATATTTTATTTATTTATTTTTTTTTTTAGTTAGGTTTAACAATAAAAAAACGGCTTTTTGCAGCGATTCAGAAAACCGAAAAAATCAGTTATCCGGAATAGCGATGGTCCCGATCGTTCCGGATAATAGGTTCCCTACTGTATATATTTTTTAAAAGATTAGTACGATTTTAAGTGCAATTATTTGCATAGAAATTTTTTCTTAATTATTTTTTGCCTCTGAGAAACAGAATTTAGTGTACTGTGCACAAAATAAAAAACCCCAGACCAACCTGAATAACTTTTGACCCAATGATCGCATCTTCACGTTCCAGGACTCAATCTTAATGGTTCACCGGGATGACCTCAAATATGCTAATTAATTAGGGCAAACTTCATTAAATGTGTTCAGTCAAAGATAATTACATAAAAAAAAATTTTTTAAGCAAGTAGTTATTATTCTATTTAATAATAGCTGAAAAAAATTTAAATTTTAAGGTATGCAATTTTTTTATACATAATTTTAAAGAATATATTTTTACATATTAGAATAAAAAATTAGAGCGAAACAGACAAATTGCTCCAGAGAAATCAACTTTCAAACTTTTTTAAAGCTTGATTTCTCAGAAACTAAGCGACAGATTTCCCCCAATCTTTGTAATTTTCCATGTAAAAATGCTTCCTTTAAAATGATTCTAAAAAATTTTATACCTTGCAATTCAAAACTTTTTCAACTATTATTAAATAAAAATAATAAACTTACTTAACTTAGCATATTTGAGATCACCCCCTCAAACAATTGAGAAGTAGTATTAGAATGTGAAGATTTGGTCATTAGATCAAAAGTATATTCAGGTTGGTCATTTCTTTATTTTGCACACTGTTCATTAACAAACACATTAAACAGTACTTGGTCATATTCGAATTGTCTATCTTCTGATTAGTAGACCTTTCTTGAAAAAACATAAGATAGAAGTACAATTTCAAAAATTTAAATCTGAATTTAATTGGCACTATAAATTTAATATTATTAAAATGTTATGCATGTATTTAACAAATACTACAAAAAAAAACGAATGATACACGGAAATAGCAAGAGATTGATAAAAAACTTTTTCTGCAATATTTCTGCTCTTTATATAATTAATTTTAACACAGTAATAAAAGTTTTATTTCAAATATTTAAATGGAAAGAAATGTCAGCATTATTTATTTTGAACCTCTTTGGATTCTGTTTTGATGATTTATTTCAAAATGGTCATTTTCCAAGTTTATCGCAATAGTTTTTCATAGTTAGGTAATAAAAAAATAAAAAAGCAATACACTATTATTTTGTATCAATAATCTATGCTCTTAACAATTTCACGTTTTCTTAGCTTGTGCAGAGCTTGTTAAAAAAAAAAAAAAAAAAAAAAAAAAAAAAAAAAAAATTTTTTTTTTTTACGAATGCTGAATAGCTTAAGCAATAATTCAATATATAATATGGTAAAATATGAATTTTTATGTTGAATAATCTTTAACTATGGCAGAATAATTTTATTTTCAAAAAATACTGCTTTTATTAAAATGAACAATTCAGCTAATTCATTCAAATAATATTAAAAGCACATACTTTTCAAAATGATGACAATACAATTGTGTTGGAATGGTTAACAGTTCGTCATAGGCAGAGGTTACTTCTTTCAAATTCTTGTTCTCCTCTAGCCATCCCACATAGAGATCCCATAATCTATCAGAACGAAATTCTCGCCCAGCTGCACTCAAAGCTCTCTTAAATAGCCTAGAAAATGTTAAAATAATACACATTGAAAATATTTTTAAGATCGTTATCAATTAGAAAAAAATAATCACACTGGTTATTAAGAATTAACAATAATATAAAACATGGTGAATGGTATCAACAAAATAGTCCTGGGGCTGCCCTGGAGCTAAAAGGTGATAGGAAACTACAGACAGCTATCACAAGACTAATCACTGGTCATACTCGCGGACTAACATTTGTTCAGAGTCAAAAGACGTTCCCGCCTAAAATGTAGTGCTCACCAGGCTTCACCTGATCATTTGCTGACCTGTATGGGACTGAAGAAAAATTTTATTTTGGAGGATCCGCAGATGGTGTTTGATTTTCTGTCGGTGAACGGTCTCCTGGACTTTGTCTAGCCTTGTTCTGGGCCAAGAGGAATAAGTACCACCACCACCACCATAATATAAAATGTTTTTAAAGCGACAAGCGAACCTAACACCAAATTAACCATTGTTTATAAATAAAGATATTTTATGCCATGAAAAATATAGTTAGCAAGTGAAAAATGTTTAAATTACTTCATAAGTCTATTAATATTTTGAAACACTGAAGCCAGTTTTATTACAGATGTCATTTTAATTATAGTTAATGAAAATATTTCAAAAAGTTCAAATATAGTGCTTTATTATTATGATTAAGAACTACCACTACAATTATTAAATATCTATTTAGTAGTATATAAAAGATGCTAACTCAATTCAATTTTGAAGTGCTTTTTGATAGATTAAGTTTTACATTGTCATAGTAGTGAGGTATATCAAACAGAACTTTTAAAAATAACACAATAAGAAAATATATATATTTTAAGAAATAAAATAGTATAGTTACATTTTTATATTTTCTTCAGAATCATCTTTGCCATTCTGCTGAGTCTTGTAAAAATTAATATAATGAATCCACAAATCTACACTCAATGGTATTGCACTTGTACCTTCTTCAAAAATCTAAAGCAAAAAAGCCATTTTGTTTAATACGTAAAAATTGTTACAGAAAATCATAATTCTGAAATGAATTAACTTTAAAATTAGTATGTGACAACAGATAATTAGACAGCCTCTAAAAGTATATATTTAAATGGAATTACTACAACTTCTAAGTTAACATATAATTAATCCTTATGGATTTTATATTTAATAATCAAAATATTGATTAATGGTAAAAATAGAATTCTATTGTCCAATTAGCATAAAAGGAGATTAGTGATAGATATTAGCTTGTTTTAGATTTTAACAAGAAATAAGTAATGGAAGGAAAAGTGATATTAAAACTGATAACATACTACACGTAATTATCTAAAATAATTCAAAACTTACCTTTTGAGCAGCATCAAAATTGTTCAAATTTTTTTCCATATCGGCATACTTCTTCCAATACCCATAGCAATATGGGTAATGTTTGAAGAAAGCTTGAAATGCTTCTCTTGCAGCTTCAATATTTTTCTATAATTAACAAATAAATTATAAAAAGTTAAAAAATTATATAAAGGACTAATTTGTGAAAATAATATAGAGAGACCTCTTACACTAAAAATTAAGCAAAAAATTCAATAAGATACATATACAAAAAACTGGTTGAAACAAAGGTTTCATCTTGTTGAGGTACTCATTTGATTTTGTCTTTGCGGTAAAATTTTTCATAGGAAGCAGATACATGGAAACATTTTTGTTAATAACTGTAAAAAAATGAATGCACAATATTTATGCCAAGAATTATGAAAATGAATCAGTGGTATTCTATCTCTAGAAAACAAAAAGTGTGAATACTTTATATTACCTCTGTTTCTATAAAATGAAGCAGATATGTCCATCCTGTAAAATCTGATGGATTGTCTTTCACAACTTGCCAATATTTTTCTAGCTCAGCTGCTTTACTTTCTTCAGAATCTAAAAGAAATTACAAACAGATTTTCACAAGTATAAAATATTTTATTTGTATTGAAATACTACATATGCTAAAAAAGAGCAAATTTCAGAATCTATTCTACAGGGGTCTGTGTAGATTTTTATGAGAGGTACCTATTTTATGAAAATTTAAAACTTAATTTATGAAAATTAAAAATTATATTAAAAAATCAATACCAAAATATGGTGAAGTAAGAAGATATTTTCAAAAATTGTCACTACAATTGAAAATCATTTGACTGGTAAATTTTTATATATTTTTCCCCATATATTCAAAAATAATTTTGCTATTGTAAAACTTTGGGCTTAAAAAAAAACATGCATTTAATAGTACTTGCACTAAAAGTTATTTTAAATATGAGAACATTTCCCACGGGGTCATATAGAAAAAAGTTTCACAGAGAAAAAAATTTTTAATAAAAAAATAAAGGACTGATAGAATAAACTTCGAACACTGTTCGAATTTCAACTTCCTGTTAAAGCTTACAGAAGGAGCGTCTCCTATTTTAATTTTAAAAAAATATAGCTTGCTACAATATGGCGTAAGCTACCACACCACACTATCTGACCAAGCACTTTCCAACTATTTGTATAGGCTTAAGTAACCGAGGATTTATCGTTTGTCACGGATATAAAAAAACTAAATTTTACGAGACGGGTAGGAGAATCTTTGAACTTGCCTTTCTTAAAAGTATTTTGTGAAACTACCGTCTTTTCTAAAGTTGAATTTGTGAAGGTACTGCCAAATGAAAGTAAATTTACCCTGGACAGACCCTTGCTTTATAACTTAATAAATTTTTAAAAAAATCACAGATTACATCAATCATGAGTATTGAGTAAACTTGGGGCCCAATAGTATATCTCTAATAAAGATAATAACCGTCAAAGAATTATATAGCAACAGAGGATACGTCTTAGTAAATGGAAAAAGGACTGAAAATTAATTTTGACATGAAATTCTGGTATACACATGAAACACAATAAACCCTGATAAATATTATAGGGGTGATAGTGGTTGCATGAAAGAATACCTGAAATTTTAGCAAGAAAAAAGTATACGTAAGAGGTCAAGGGTCATACTGACTGTGGTCAAGTTTTGGGTTAGGGAAATTATAATTTTTAATTAAAATTTAATAAAATGAAAAGATATTGATACATTATTTAATAAGCAGAGTAGATACATAACTAACTCTTTTTAGATGCTTTTCCATAGAATTAGTTACTCCAAACTCAGTAAAACAGATCATGCGAAGAAACAATTTTTAAACCAAGCAAATGCGTATCTCAATGACTGACTTTTAAATTGCGTAAATATGAATAAGGATATTTGTTTTTATAATAGCAAGAATCACGGAATTGAGTTTTTTAAATTGCAAGAATATAAATCACGACATAGGATTTTTAAATCACAAAGTGTGATTTTTAAATGTATCAAACTCTGATGTTTGGGTTTTAAGTGAAGTATTCTTGGATGAAGAAGAAGTGTAATTTTAAATCACATAAATAAGAATCATGGTGATTTTCAAATTGAGTTAATATGAAAAGTAGATAAGAAAACGGACCTTGCTTCAAAGAGACTAAATTTTTCATAAATATGAGGGGGGGGGACACTATCACAGGAATTAACGAGTTTACGGAATTGAAACAGAAAATAATACCAGCCCCGAGAGTAGATGATTAACTAAGGCACACTTTCTATCCTCTTATCAAGCAGTGGAGTGGACCTAACAGCAGGCATTAAATCTGTGCACGGGAGTAAGCCCTTTTAAGTTTTAAAAAAAAAATCTCTGGCCTAAAAATGAATTTTCCAGACTTCTCCAGAATTAGCAAATTAATTTCCTTAATCTTTTCAGTGGAAATTAAAAAAAATCAGAACACTTGTCAGCTATGGAAAATAAATTGAGAATGACATAAAATCATCAATTAAAAGAATTTTCACTTACTATTAATCAAATACATCACAAGATAAAATACAGACAAAAAAAAATTACTTACAAATAATGAATTCTTAGCCTGGCTTTCAAGTATCTTATCTCGTTTGTATCCATCTTATGTTTCTGACTAGTCTTTTTAACTTAAATTTAGTGTAGTTCCAATAAAGAAAAATATTTAGTAAATATATAAGGAAAATATATTGCCCAAGAAAAATATTTTGGAATTAATTATTTAGAAACTAATTGTCGAAACGATGGTAGGTTCCAAAATAAAGATGAATAATACATCACTTGTGCACAAGAAGAAAACAAAAATAATTACCTTTCTTTTTGCTGCTTCCATTTTTTTCATCCATTTTACTTGAAAGTTCTAAAATCAAAAACATACATTAATTTTTTATTTATCATTAAAAAACAGCATCTATTTTATCATTTAAAATTAAAATGCACTGAGAATCCAGTAAGGTTATTCACATAATTCATAAAACTGACCAGACCACTAAGTTCCATAAGCACTAAGTTCTTATACTAAAAAATTGACTATAATACTAATTATAAATAGATTTTTCATATAGATTAAGGTGAATTTTCTTTTTTTGAAAAAAGGCATTGAATTTTCAAAACAATTAAATTTCATAAAGATAACTAAAATACTTTTAAATATATTAATATAATCGTTAGACTGTCCTCATGCAATATTCATAAAAACTTTTTACAGAACCACTATTAAAAAGATAAATAATTTACAAAATTTATTTACATAATTTTTTTTTTTTTTAACATAGTTCTATAATGGCTATATCACACGAGAGAAAATAAGTGCAACTGTAAGTGTAATTTCTCCAAAAATTGCTCGAAAAATTCTCGTGTGATATAGAAATCACGGTTGCACGAAATAACTGCAACCGGTCAGGCAATTTCTTACATGAACCAATCAGATCGTTTGCTTTTTATGACGTTTCAATTTTATGTGATGACATATACAAATGTAAATAAAAATGGCGGCGGCATTAGGAAGAGGATGATCGGATGAAATTTTTTTATAGATGAGAGGGAACAGGTTTTTAGTTTAATAATAACATTTCCTTTAAAATGAAAGCATTAAAAATACTTTCGCGCTATGAGATGACCATCTCAATGCAGTTGATGTACTACCATAACAGTAGCCTGCACACGATTTTAGTATCGGTGAGTATAGTACACTATTTTTGCGATAAATTTTCCTTCAAAATATTTATTTATTTTAAGCTAATAAAATTAAAACTTATTATAATTTGTTCCGATCAAAGTTTTAATTACTTTAAATAGAAATAATTTCTATTTTAATATATGTACAGATTTATACTGGCGAAAAGCTTTACTTTGAAATATTCGCCAAGCAACTCACCAAACTTTGTTACATTACTATAACATAAAATATAATAATGATTATATTTCTTTATTTTTAAATTTTAATCTTTATTTCTGTTGATTGTAAAAGCATGTGTCCGATTATTTGAATTTTTTTCATTACATTATTATAATTATTAGTGAAATAATTATTTTATTCTTCCCTAAGAATTCTTTTAATTTTTGAAAATCTCATTTTAAAACAAGTTAGAAAATATGTGTGGTAAATATTTACCTTGTTTCTCACAAAGTTACCCTATTTTCCAGTAATTATTGAAAAGTATTACAAGAAAGGTAGTATATTATACCGTATATTCCGGCGCATAACGCGCCCCGGCGTATAATGCGCACTCGTAATTTCTAATAACTTTTTTTAAATTGTAAGATATACTCTTCATATAACACGCACGAAAATTCGGAATTGTTCAATTTTCAAAAATATATTATAGAACTGCGAAAAAAGGAATATTTACTTTCACAAATAGGAAATATGGATGAGACCCCAGTCATGTTTGACATGATCGGTAATAAAACAATTGATTTAAAGAGAGTAAAATCTGTCAACGTAAGAACAACGGGACATGAGAAATCTCATTTCACCGTAGCCCTTTCTTGCTTAGCGGATGGAACGAAACTAAAACCAATGGTTCTTTTTAAGAGAAAAACTTTTCCAAAAGGTACTTTTGTTCATGTCCACGAAAAAGGCTGGATGGACGAAAATGGTGTTAAATTGTGGGTAAAAAATGTCTGGCAAATCCGTCCTGGTTGCGTAAGAAAACCAAAAAGCCTTTTAGTGTGGGACATGTTTAGGTCCCACCTTACAGATAATACAAAAAAAATTGTTGAAAGAATGTAACACCGATATGACAGTTATTCCAGGCAGATTGACACTATTAGTTCAGCCAAATGGACGCCTGCTTAAACAAATCATTTAAAGCCAATTTAAAATAACGGTGGAACACTTGGATGTTGGAGGGCGAGAAAATCTTTACGAAAGGAGGACATATGCCTCATGCAAGTTTGGAAGCAGTGTGCAAATGAATATTAAAAGCATGGGATGAAATTAAGCCTGAGATGGATAGAAAATCATTAAAAAAATGCAGCATTTCAAATAATCTGGACGGATCAGAAGATGACTGTTTATTTATGGATGAGGGTAACACGGATGATGAAGACGAATAGATTGTGATGACGTGCCAGAAGAAATAACGGAAGACGAATATAATGTACTATTTATGTAATAACAAAAATCAATAAAGTATATAGGTAAAGGTATGTTATTTCTTTAAAATAAAAGTATTTTTCTATATTTAAATTTTTTTAATCTATAATTTTTTATATTCGGCGTATACCGCGCACCCGTAAATTCCAATGCTTATTTTTGTATTAAAAGTGCGCGTTATACGCCGGAATATACGGTATATAAAAAGTAATTATTAAAAAAGCAAATTCCCAATCTCCTTGTCTGTTTCTACATTCATCCCCTCTATTTTTTTTTGTGTATGATGATTTGCATAATATTTTGTTTATAATTATTCAAAGTTAACTAATGATACTTTACTTTTTATTTATACTTCACATTTATCTTTTGATACTTAGCTTTTCTATAATGACAGTAAGTGTACCTTACTAATTTTTCAATATACTTTTTTTTCAATACATTTTTAAGAGTCTCAGTTTATAAATACAATTTATTTTTCTTGAAACAAATTTCAATCCAAACATAAGAACTACAAAACCAAACATACCTGCCATCTTTCATTAGTGTATAGAATAATCTTAGAACTATAATCAAAACATCTGCCAAACTTAAAATAAGTTTTAAAAGGGATACCTAAGGACTTAAATGATTTCAAATTAATGGTATTTAATCTTCCTTATTCTAATAATGTGTTGGTAAAATTTTATCATGAAAGTGATTTCTTTCTTTTATTTCAGATATTTCGTATAATCCTGTAAGGTTT